GCATGACTTGACACACACTGACAACTGACACACACTAACGCACATTGACACACACTAACGCACACGGCCACACTCTGACAACTGACACACACAGACACACACTGCCGCTTGTCTAAATCGAAAGCACCCGGGCATTTCGGCACACACACACACACACACACACACACACGTGCACGCGATAGCGCCGCGGCGGCATCAAATGATCGCCTTGCAGGGGCAATTAAGTCGAATTGACTATGCATCTGCCAGTTTGAAAAGCCCATCGGCGGAAACCCCGGAATGCAGAGTAAGGCGGGCGTGGCGCGAAAATACGAGCGGTGTAGACTCGCGTAGCTCCGAGGCGTTTCCGGTACAAAGCCGGCCCGCGCCCGGACGCCTGTCCGAGGAAAAGCTGGGAAAAGTAAATTTGTTGTATCGGGGACGCGTCGCCGTGCTCTGGAAAAAGATGGCTGGGTTGCGAACGTGCCGGCTCGCAGGACGTCCACCGCGGCGGCGTCTGCACGCCAGTCAAGGGCGAGTGGGTCCAGACGGTGGCGCAGCGGCAGCAGCGGCAGCAGCCAGGTTCCGCGGCACGTCCGCCTACGTCCGCCGCCCCGCCGCCGCCCGCTACGCACCGTTTCCTGGAGATCGAACCCCAGCCCCGGCGGCTAGGCTCCGCTAGGCTCGACCCGCCCTGACCTCGGACCCCTCGGGTCCCTCGCCCTCGGGCCTCGGCTGGGGTTTCGTCTCCCTGCGGGCGGATCAGTGTTGCCACAGTCGGCAAACATTCACACGATGCGCCGGCGCCGAAAGAGTTGCCAACCTCTGCCTGCCTGCTGGGCTTTGCTCTCGAGAGGTGGGCAGCCCTTCCGGCACCTCGTGGGAGTGTTTGCCCGGTGTGTGGCCACCGCGTCCCGAGCGAGGCGCGGACACGCCGATCGACTTAGCGAGGCGCATGTTCACTGCGTGTTGCCGCCACTATTAAGGAACCAATCTGACTGGCGGGGCGTTCGTGGAAACTTCCAGCGGCCGCCGCTGCGCCGCCAGGCCGACGCTGGACGATCTTTCGGAATGCATGCTGGCGGCGCAAAACCAGCTTGCGACCACCAATTTACTGCCCTTCAAGCAGCCCTTCAAGCAGCCCGTCATCCAGGGCCTGTCAGGGCCGAGCCCTTCCCCCGCAGCCGCGGAAACTGCCGCTGTCAGTGTCAGCGTTCGAATCTGGCCCTAGAAGCAGTCCGAGTAGTCCCTGCGCCGCCCTGCGCGTCCTAGGCGGCCTGCCGACCAGTTTGCGCGGGGCGGCTGGAGGGCAACGCCCCTGCACCGGCCGCCTGATTCACTCGGCCGGCCGCCATCTCGGTCTTCTTGGTCTTCTTGGCTTCTTGGCGGCGCAGCGAGGGGGGCGGGACGCGCAGTCAATGCGGATTACTTCGGCACCGATTAATGCGTCCATGTCTAGATTAATGCGCGCTGCGATCGGGCCGGCGAGGTGCAGCGATCTCAAGCCGCCGCCGGACTGGTTCCGAATCGAACACCGCCTCGCGATTCCGCGGGCCACGCCGTGAGTGCGAGAGAGACAGTGCGGAATCGCTCGGCTAGACACGTTTTGCTGCTATTGCCCTTACATAGTGGTGTCTTCTCCGCACGCTAGTGCGCCGCGCCAAAATGGACTCCTCGTTCCAAGGGCGATCGACTAGAACCATCCAGGCACTTCGAGTCCCGTTCGAGAGAGACGGGGCTCACGCACGCGAGCTGGATGATTTCTGTGGTCCGGCGACAATGGCAATCCAGTGCGCTAGCAGCCCAACTCATTTGCATCTCCTCGATATGCAAACAATGCGCGTTCCGGGCGTCCTCCCTGGAGGCTGGCCGAGGCTGGAGGCACGCTCCAGCAGCACACCATCCGTCTCGGGCCGTGCCGGAAGGAAAACGGATCGGCCGATTGCCTTTTTTTCTCCTTTTTTTGCGCTCCTTCTGCAACATGAGTGCAGTGCCGCCGCGGCGCTGCGGCGTTCCGATCCCACTCCGATACAAACGATACTGCGTGCGGTTCCAGTGGCGTGGCATGTCGTGGCGTGGCCGGCAGGGCGACCCTTCCAGCCTTCCGACTCTTAATTCGTGGATCCGCTCGCCTCAGCCTCTCTTTTTGTGCGGATTGCGTTTTGTTTTTGGCTGTTTTGGGCGCCCCTCAAGGTCGCCCGATCGTGTACCTCGCCGAGTGCGTGCGTCGTGCCGCGCCTTGCCGATCGCACGGTGTGCCGCCATGTGCCGATGCACCGTGCCACCGCACCGTGCCACCGCTCCTTGCGACACATCCGTCGCGAGGCACGCGCCTCAGCGCGCGGCCAGCACACCGCAAACAACAATCAGCTAATTTGACGTTTGTTGTTGTTGGCGGTGGAAAAGTATACGCGGGCGGGACGTGCCTTCCAGTGTAGCTGGCCGCCAAAGTGCGGTCGGGCGGGTCGCGGCGGGCGGCGGGCTTTTCCCGCGCGGTTTCTCTTGAATGCAGGTCCTGCCTGGACCACGGCCTGGACCTAGGCCCGCCTCACTGTGAGTCACACACTGTCACTGACCCACTCTGTGGGCACCTGGGCCAACCCGGGCACGCCGAAGAAATCGCTAGTCATCAACCACGGCGTCAAGTCATGTCAGGCGGCATGAGGGAACCCGAGACATGCGGCGCTGCGCGACTCCGCGTGGCCCGCGTGCCCCGCACGCCGAATCCGAGCGGGGGATCCCCGCCGGACTGTCTCTCTCGCACGAGGGGCAAACAACTTGAATTTAGGTGTACATTTTCCGTGAAATAACGTGAAATAACGGTGAAATAACGTGAAATAACGGTGAAATAACGCCAAAAGAAGCGTGAAATAGCGTGAAATAACGGTGAAATAGCGCGAAATAACGTGAAATAACACGAAATAACGCGAAATATCTTTGAAATACCCTTGAAATAACGTTGAAATAACAATGAAATAACGTGAAATAACGTGAATTTGAAATAACGGTGTACAAATTTTGACGAAGTTGTTTGCCCCTCGCTCTCGCACGCCTGCGCAGCGGCCCGCGAGTGCGAGAGAGAGACGCCCCGTTCGGCATCAGTCTGCGGGTGAAATGGGCCGCGAGAAACTTTTTTGGTCGCCGCGCACGTGGTGGTGGTGCTGGGCCCCCATGGGTGGGTGATGGAATGTTCTACGCGCTTGAGCTTTTCCAACCGTCGTGTTGTTGTTATTTGACGACGTTTAGCGCGCGGTGGCGCGATATTATTTCTTTTCGCCACGATGGCCATTGGCGGACATTGGCCATGGCACTGATTAACGACTGCAGCTTAGTGTCACGCCGCCGCGACCCGTGCGTCGCCCGGAGGATCTTCTTCGTCGACAGAGAGAAACTCGAAGCGATCCAGAAGCTTCTCTATCGGCTCAGGCGCGGATCCAACATTTTTATTAGGCGGGGGTTATGAGGCGATTTTATCCCAGAGGCGAAGAAGTGCGTGTTGCCTACCTTCGAGGTCCAATCATTACCCTGCATCGGCTGTCTCAGAGCCATTCGACAAACATCCGGACTTCCAGACGGCAAAAAGTTTTAGAAAAAAAAACACGACAAAGAAAGGAAAGACATGGATGAATAAGAAAAGAAACCACCGCGCACTTGCACGCTGGGGTAATTCTCGGGACAAATTGGCGAGAAACACGTTGCGTTTCCACGGTGTTGTGACGCGAGGCGGTGCTGGCGGTGACGTCCCGGTGCAAAGTTTCGGACCCGCCTCTTTTTGTTTTTCTCCCCCGGAAGTTTAATCGTTGCGGCGAGTCCGGGAATCGCGGGGAATCTGGATCGATAATGGGCCGGACGATGAGGCACGGGGAATAAAAAGAAGCCGACACGTGAACGGGACGGCACGCTGGGCGGGCTCCAAGAACTGCCTGATCATCGTCAGCACTATTTAATGTTCACACGTTAACACGTTAACACGTTCACGCGTACATACTTACAATCCGCCACGCCAGAGCACCTTCACGCGTTCCAGAGTGCGAGAGTGTGATGCGGCGTGTGTGAGAGAGAGCGTGTGTGTGTGTGTGTGTGTGTGTGTGTGTGTGTGTGTGTGTGTGTGCGCGCGTGCGTGTGTGTGCGTGTGTGTGTGTGTCATCCGGATACCCGGCCGGCCGGTGCGGCTGGAGGGGGCAGCCAGGGCGGGCGTGGCGTGGCGTGGCGGCGGGGTGGCGCGAGCGCGGCAGCGTGGCTGGAGCTATGGGTTCAGCGGGAAGGTGAAGGTCTAGGTCGGCGCGGTCAGACGGCCCCAGGGCTGCCCAAATTGCTGCGGCCCGGGTGCCGTCACGCCGTCACCGGCACCGCCGTGGGGCTCGAGCAGCCACCCCGCCGTCGAGGACGCCGCCGTCGCCGTCGTCGCCGCCGGGGCGCGTCACGCCACCGTCCTGGAGCAGCGCTGAGCAGTGCCTGCAGCACAGCGCCTGTAGCAATGCCCTGACAAGGCCTTATGCAGATAGTGTTTCCAGCGTCGCAGCAGCGCGGCGGCGCACCGAGCACCACATCCTCGTGCACCTGCCAGCCCGCCAGCCCGCCACGCCCGGCGCGTCCTTGGCCGTCAAAATGTCGGCATTATTTTCCGATCGGAAGGAAATCTGGGCGGGCAATGCGGGCGTCGTGTCGCCGGGCCGAGCCGGCCGGACTCGGGCTTCTCGCACTACACTGGCGACACACGCGCGGAACCTGTTTGCTTTCGGAGACAAGTCTTTTTATTTTCGCGGTTGTTTTTCTGCTGATTTTTATGCTCGCATATAGGCCTCCGCTGTGGCGAGTTGATTATCGGGGACCGTCCGGGGTGCACGTCGACGGGCCGGCGCGGCGGCGAGGGGAGGGGAGGGGGTAGAGGGGGCGTAGCCCCCAACACGGTTAGCTCTGCTGTCCCCCAAGATGCGTCCAACGTAATTTCTCATCTGGGCATATGTAACTGGTGACCCTGCTCCTGGATTCGGCCTGATGTTCCTTTCCTCTGCCCGCAGGCGTGCTCATCCTCCTGATCGTCGGCTTGGTGGGCTTGTCCGTCGGCCTGGTCATGATGCTCACCGACCCCTACAACAGGCTGTTCGAGTGGGTGAGTCCGCAAGGCGCATAGCATGGAAGAAAAAATAATGAAAGAGAACAGCTTCCTAGACCCGGCGCGACGGGGCGCGGGGGTATTGGATTGCCAACAAACTGCCGGATGCAGACTTGTCTTTCCTGCCTCCTGTGCTACCCAACCTCGCTTTGCAACTGACTCGAGTGGTGGTTCGACAGAAAGCCACGTTCGGCTCCGGCGGCGAGATGTTCAACCTGTGGGAGAAGCCCCCGGTGGAGCTGTACCTGCGCGTCTGGCTGTGGAACGTGACCAACCGGGAGGAGTTCCTGGCCGGCAAGGAGAAGCTCCGGGTCCACGACGTCGGCCCCTACGTGTACAGGTGAGGGCAACGAAAACAATCCTGTTTTGATGGAAAATGACAACCCGCAAAAACAACGACCTGTCCAAAAAGACACTCGCGAAGGAGGAGCCGCGCACGACACTTAAACTTTGTCTTTGGCCTCCCAGGGAGCGGTTCACCCACGAGAAGGTCGTGTTCAACGAGAACGGCACCATGACGAGCGTGCCCACGCACCCCCTGATCTGGGTGCCGGAGCTGAGTGAAGGTCACAGCGAGAACGACACCCTGATCCTGCCCAACATCGCCCTGCTGGTGAGTGGTCGCCGCGGTCACCGGCACGCCGCCGGCCGGCGTGGTCACTGCGGTCGCGCCTTTCCAGTGAGGAGGAAGTGGAAACGCAAGGAAAACCGGCTGCCGCCTGAATCCCAAAGACCGTTTCTGTCTCCCTCGCACTCGCGCGGCGTCCCTTTCGAGTGCGAGAGAGAGAGAGCGACGAATCGATGCTTCGGAATGTGGCGGCCGTGCGGTATGGCAAGGAATGGCGTGGCGTGGCGTCGCGGCGGCGTCCGCTGCACCGGCCGAGGCAAGCCGCGCCGCGACGCCGCGACGCGCATGACAACGTGGACGCCAACACCCCCAGGACGACGGCGTCCACGACGTTGTCCACGACGCCGACCTTACCGTCGGCCGCTGCCCTCGGCTGCCCCTGTGCGTGTTCGCGTCCAGTCCAATTAGCAGCACGTCGGCGACGACGGCACGGTCCTTAGCTTCAGCCGGACTCGGTGCCATTCGTGCCAAGAGCCTGGCTTATAAAATGCGGTATTCACGCATGCTCGTTCGCGTCCGCTGTCGTCAGTACAAAACTAACTCATGCACTCGCCCCCGGCGGTGCGTACACTGTACACTTACGTGCCGCGGCGAGGCGAGGCGAGCCGGCGCCTTGTTTTGCCGTGTCGCGGTGCGCGGCGGATTCGCGGCGGCCGAACAGCAAACACGGCTGCTAATGAGGGTAACCACTCGCCGCGCCGTCTCTCTCGCACTCATGGGGCGTCCTGTATGGGCGCGAGAGGGACAGAGCGACGAAAACGACTCGCGGAATCAGTCGGCGACCGGCATGGAGGAGGCCCGCTTCCGGAGATGAGAATAGAAGAAAGAGTATGTTTCGACGGTCGTCGAGGTGCGCCTAACACCCTCCCCTTTCCCCGCAGAGCTTCTCCAACGTGATGGCCGACGCGTCCGTGTTCACGAGGCTGGCCGTCAACGTGCTCATCAGGCAGACCGACTCGCAGCCCCTGGTGGAGATGACGGCGCGCGAGTTCATGTTCGGCTACGAGAGCCCCCTGGTGACGCTGGGCAACAAGTTCATGCCCTCCTGGATCATGTTCGAGAAGCTGGGCCTCATCGACAGGGTGAGTACGGAGCCCAGGAGTGCGTCAGGCGGCGACCTCGACCGCCGGCCGGCTGGCGGTTGGGTTGCCTGCGTGTGCGGCGCACTGCCACGCCCCGGCCCGGCCGGTTCCTGTAGGCCCCGGAGCCTGCGCTGCACTGCCGCCGTGCTGCCGAGTGTCACACTGTGCTCAACGGCCCGCCCTCTCCTCACAGATGTACGACTTCGCCGGCGACTTCGAGACGGACTTCACCGGCGAGACGGACGTCAAGAACTCCGGCCTGATCGACAAGTACAACGGGCGGCCCTACCTGCCGCACTGGCGGCGCGAGGAAGGCGACGGCCCCACCACCTGCAGCAACGTGCGCTTCGCGTCGGACGGCACCAAGTTCAACTCGTACATCGAGCCCAACCAGACGCTGTCCTTCTTCCGGAAGTCCATGTGCCGGGCCATGCCCATGGTGAGTGCGCGTCGCGGTGCGCGTCGCGGTGCGCGTCGCGGTGCGCCTCGCGCGTCCCCGACAACACGGCCATAAAGAACGACTCGGAAACGAGTGACGCGCCCCCCATTCCCATGCCGCTATCTAAGTAGACCGGGTGGGCCATTGCCGCCATGGCGGCCATGCAGCAACACACAGTGTGGTGCAGCCTGCAGCGCCAGACGCCTTTCCGAATGGATTCGCGGGCCGCCCCGCCGCCTTAGCGCCTTAGCCAGCGCGCTCGCCAGCGCGCCGATTCCCAAACGGTCCGTCTTGTCTCCGTCTCTTTCTCGCACTCGTGGAGCGTGCCGTGGGGGTGCGAGAGAGAGCCGGCAGGCCGGCGGCGTGGCCAGCCCCCTCGGCCGTCTGGCCTTTTATCAGTGGGGCTGCTAGACACGCTGCCTGCGCGCCGGGGATGTCGGGGTTCGCGTACACTGCGGGACAGGGTGGGGTGGGGTGGGGTGGGGTGGGGTGGGGGTGGGGTGGGGTGGGGTGGGGTGGGGTGGGCGGGGTGGGGGGGGTGGGGCGGGGTGGGGCGGGGTGGGCGGGGTGGGGCGGGGTGGCGCGGGGTGGGGCGGGGTGGGGCGGGGTGGGGTTCCGATATTCGGCCGCCACGGGTGACACGTGCTCGCGATGCTGTCTAGACGTGTCCAGATGACCGGGAATCCCCAGAGCCGACAAATATGAATAAACTCAGTCTCCTCATTCAGCAGCGGGAGGCCTCAGGCCGCGTCTAGCAGGCAGAGCGGCGCTGCATGTATATTTTCCTTGAAAACAGAAAACATGGGTGGCACTTTGATCGCCGGCAGGAAAGTTACTGCGTCAGAGCGGCACTCGCGGGGAAACGACAGCAGTTTACATGCATCTAAAGAGGCTTCGGAGATTGCCGATAGATTTGATCCAACAAGCAATAGAATTTGGAAAAAAAAGGAGGATAAACATGAGCCTGAACACGCGCTCGCTTTGTACTAAGTTGGTCCGCTGCGTGTTTGCAGGTGCGCGTGGGTGAGGCGAAGCGGTCCGGCATGATGGGCTACAAGTACACCTTCAAGAGCGACGCTCTGGACAACGGCAAGGTGAACAAGGACAACAAGTGCTTCTGCCGGCAGGGACACTGCCTCCCGGAGGGCCTCATCGACGTCACCGACTGCTACTACGGTAAGCGAATCAAGCAAATTACACTGACAGTAACTTTTTTTTTCTTCTGTGATTCTCGAAACTTTTACGGTAGTCTGCGCGGTGGCGGCGGCGGTGGCTTTAGTGGTTGTCGGTACAGGTGTAATGTTGTTTTCCGCGGAGCTGAGCTGCGGTCCCGACCGTCCCGACTGCGAGCCGCGGATCGGCGCGCATTCCACGCCGCCGACTCGGCGTGCATCTCGTGACCCGCGCCCCGCCACCAGCAACCCGCGACACCCAAACGCCTCCCCCAGCGCCTCATGACCGTCCTCTCCTCTGTGTGTCCGCAGGCTTCCCCATCGCCGTGGGCTACCCGCACTTCTACAAGGCCGACCCCGCCGTCATCAACGCCATCGAGGGCGTGTACCCGGACGAGAGGAAGCACGAGACCCACTTCATCATCGAGCCGGTAAGCTTGCTTTTGTTTTCTGCAGCAGGGTGGCACTTCCGCAGTGTCACAGTGCTGGTCGGCGACTGGTTCCTCCCTGGCCGACGTCACCGACATCGTGCTGCTGCTGCACGTGCCGATGCACGTGCGGCGTGCACGGGAGCAGAGTAATACATCACGCACTTGAAGGGGCCGAGCGCGGCGGCGCGGCGGCGTGACTCTGGCACGTGACGGCTCGGGCGCGGAGAGTAACCCACCGCCTGGGACCCGTCGCATGCAGTGGTCACATTAGTAGGCGAAACGGGTCGGCAACCTCACTGCGCCCACTGAGCAACGTCCCTGCCGTTGTCGTTGGACTCTGACTGCGTGGAATCGAAACAAGCGAATCTCTCGTTGTGCCGTTGGCTTATCCGGTCTCTTGCCGCCTTGTCCACAGGTGTCCGGCATGCCGCTCGAGGTGGCCGTCAGGAACCAGATCAACATGGCGCTGGGCGACCTCAGCAACATGGCGCACGTCACCAAGTTCAGCCACATGGTGCTGCCCCTGCTGCACACCGAAATCGTAAGTACCGACAGTGGCAACTCGAGCCGGTTGTGTGGCCTATCCGCGAGGCGCCGCCACCGGTTTGGCCTTTGGCCGGGCTGTACGATGGGGTGCCTACTGACCCGGCGCCGCCGCTCGCCGCTCGCAGTGTCTGATGGCCGTCTCTCCGTGTTGCAGGGCATGAAGGAGCTGCCGTCCAACATGCAGGTCAAGTTCATCATCTACATGGTGATCCTGCCCGTGGTGACGGTGGTGCTGACGTGGGTGTTCCTGGTGGGCGGGCTGGCGCTGATCGGCGTGTGCCTGGTGGCGGCCTTCTGCAACCCGTGCCGCCCCGACGTGGACGTGGAGACGCGCCGCAACTCGCGCGCCTGGCTGCAGCAGGACACGGACGTGAACAAGGCCGTGAGGAAGCAGATGCCCGAGCTGCTGATCGTGGAGGCGGAGCGGCACGCGGCGCAGCTCAAGCACGGCATGGCGCGCGAGCGCGAGATGCAAGTGTACCGGTCGCTGCTGGCCCCCGACGACGGCAACGACGTGTCCGGCTCGTCCAACGCGTCCTCCAGGAGGACGTCCTTCGAGCAGGCCTACTGCTAGTGCGCTGCTAGTGTGCTGCTAGCGCGGCGGAGGATACCACGGCCTCCCCGAGGACCTCGACGAGGCCCCGGCGGAGGGCCCGGCAGACAGTATTATGGCAGTGCCTAACCACCCTGCTGGCGGGGACGTGCGGCGCGGGGCCGGCGCGGCGACGCGGGGACTGCGCCCCACCTGACTGACTGCAGCTCCGCCCCGAGGCCGTCGCCACCCACCCCCAGCCGACGGCGTCCTCCGATGACCGGGCCGTGGCGTGGCCGTGGCGTGCTCGTGACCTGGAGCGGGACTCCTGGGGCGCGCCGCCACGACGGCCGCCACCACGGCCGCCACCGCCACGGGCCGCAGTGGCGGCGCCCTGGCCGCCCCGGTGCCTTGCACTGCCTTGCTCAGGGCCTTGTTTGAGGGGCGGCCGCCGGGCGGCTCCACGTGGCCGTCAAGAGCGACAGGAACCCACCTTGCAGCTTGCGGGGGAAGAGTGACGCTTCCCAGAAGATTGCATCCAATTCGTCCTTGTGGTAGTGTAAGGAAGGTTGTTTTGTACGCTGTTATGTGATGGACTTATCGTTTTAATTATGTTGCTCAATCGTGAAATTGTTTTGTCTCCTTCTCATTGGAGGGAAAGTCTGTGATGTGCTACTCTTGCCTGGGTGTAGTTTTTATGGTTTAACTTTTATGTGTGATTATTCCTGACCTTATTAATTTATTGTTTTATCGTTGTAAGGACTCCATTTCGTACATCCCTGTGCAAGTGGAGAGGTCAGTGTAATTTGTGTTTTCTTCTGACGACGAATTCTTGAGGGAATCGGATGCCAACTGGGCAGCTAAACAAGGCGGATGGATCCGACATTGCCAACAGGGTATCAATTAGAAAAAATAAAATTGTTTAAATGTAAATTAGGCAGAGGCAGAGTAATCAAAACTATGAGTTTTGGCCGTTTTATTGCTCCAGGGATCTTTAACTCATACTGTAAATCTTTTGTACATAATTTCATAATCATCCATATCATTCATATATGTAGTTTTTAAGGTCATAATGCTCCATTTGAACTGACACAGTAACAATTATGGACTTGTAAATAATGTTCACATTTAATAATCATTTTTGTTGTTGAGGTTTAAGGATGACAACTTCTGCTTATTGTTCTTAGTTGTATTCTGACGTCCATGATATGTTTTTACTGACCTTTTCCTTGAAACTCAATTGAACTCTAGTCTCTAAAGTAATCGTTCCAGCATTTTTTTTGTTTCGATTTGTTTTTTTTATTTTCTTAACTACCGTGTGTCCGCGGGCATCAAAAATAAATCCGACCTGTTGCTGTATTTCTTGTCCATGTCATTTTATCGATCAATAGAACATAAGAATTGGCCATAGCATTTCAGCACCCTCTACTTACAGGAGCGGTTTTGGGCTCTCACTTTGAGAAGCTCATGCAAACTGTATACGTGTGATCAGTTTGAGCACGAAACCTGTTTCTTCCCTTTCATTTATTTATGCCTCTCTCACTACCCTCTCCCAGTGTTGTTAGGAACTCTAAAAGTAGTTGTAACCATGTTTCCGGAGCTATCAAAGTTTGTTGCTTATAATAATACGTAGTGTATCAAGCGCGCCCAGCCGGCGCTGAGTAGCTTTATTTCATGATACCTGTATATACCACTGTTTTAAATAGACATGAGTAATAATAAATTGGGAAAGAAAATATCGCATTGGTTTCACTTTATTCCCGTTTGATTTGACGAGTTGGGCAGTCTACTTTTCGAGGTGGCAGTTTTGCCGCCGCTGCCGTCTTAACATCACCCTGGGGCGTGCTGGCTGGGTGGCCTACCTCCACGGCGCCCAGCCCCAGGTGCGCCAGGTGCGCCAGGTGCCTCCAGCACTCGCCCCGTTTGCGCCGGGAAGGCAGGCGCCCCATTTGACGTGGCTCGCACGTGCATCCTCTCCTCGAGCGTCACGCGCGGGGTAGCGACGGATCAGTTTTTTCGCGGGTCGCAGGAGAAAAGAGCCCGGCGATACCCTGCTTCGTAAGTGACCCTGAGTTCCTGACCGGCGGTCTTTTGTGCACGGAGTAGTGACAGTGGGTCGTTTGTGGATTCCGCGCAGAAGAAGCACGCTGGTTGCAGGTGGGATGTCGCGGGAGAGTGTGTGTTGGCGAATCACAAAATTCACGTTTCTGGCATGGGTGCGTAGGCCTGGCGTAGGCGACAGAAAAACAGAGCCAAATGCGAAGTACCAAGAAACACACAAGTTAACATATAACACACTTTAATCCCGCTTTTGCACGATTTCCAGCTCTCGAATTTCTGATTTCAGTCGAAATTAACAAAAATGTCAATACTGTGACTACATCGGTAACACTGAACTATCTAACTATAAATTACGCACGTACTCTTTCACACACACACACACACATACACACTTAAAGGTACTCGGAAAAACATGTAAGATGTTGCCTACCCATACAGGCAATCTAAATACTTCATAATACAATAGTAACATCACAGCAGTTTCTTATAGTTGTGGAAAGATTGTCTTCCATAATCATCCAAACTAAAAATGAAACACGTCACTCTATTCAGGGAAGATCTTTTCCAGGGGAACCTTGGAGAAGACTCTGTTGGAGATCTGCTTGAACACCTCGCCGAAGCCATCCGAGATGGCCGGCTTGAGCTCCTTCAGCACCTCGGCGGAGTTCTCGTTGAGGAAGTGGTTCATGGTGGAGCCTGCGAACCAGATTCAAAGAGTCTCAGCAAAACGCAGAGTGCCACAGAGTGCTTCGGAGCGCCGCGTTAGGCAAAGGTTTTCCCGCTTACCGAGCTCCTTGTTGCCGTTGAACAGGTTCTCGAAGTTGAGGTGAAGCTTCTTGGTGTCGATGGTGAAGGAGAACTCCGTCACGTTCAGGTAGGTCTCGGCGCCGCGCTTCGTGGGCACGCCCTTCAGGACCACCTTCAGGGTGGGCTCATCTGCAGCAAAACAAGCGCTTCTTATAGCTTTGCTGCCCCAACAAGCAGGCCAGGACATTGTGAGGTCTAAGGATGCCATCTTCGGCACCTGGCTTCATTTGAACTTTGTTTTGACACCTCGAGGAGGCCCTGCACGCCGTGGCCGCGGCCGGCCGCCACACCTACCCAGCTTGAGGTTGCATTTGCCCTCGCCGTTGATGGGCAGCACCAGGACGCGGCCCTTGATGGTGTACTCGCCGTCCAGGAGCAGGGGCTGGGACACGTCCACGTTGGCAGACATGGTGTAGGTCTCGTGGTCGTAGCTGCGGACGCCAACAGAAACAGGCCATGCTGCGTTACGAGGATCGGAAGACCCCTTCAGGGTGATGAGAGATTGGGGGCACCGACGTACCTGGCCTCTTTGATGACGATGTTCTTGACGCCCTTCAGGTCCAGCTCGCGGAACTCCAGGTCGATGGCGACGGGCCCGGTGCCCTGGTCGATGGACAGCCTGGTCATGTGGAGGGGGTCCACGGGGAAGATGCCGAGCGACGGCTCACCTGCGGCAGCACAACAACGACGCGATGCTTGAGGGACTCGGAGGGACTCCAGGCGGCGGACTGGCGGACGCCGGGGCCGGCCGGGGTGGCGACGTCAACGCGGACGGCCTTGCGGGGCACGGCGGCACCGCGGCCCTCCGACTCATTCCGAGAGTCGTTTTCGTTGCTCTGTCTCTCTCGCACCGCCACGCGACGCCCCGTGAGTGCGAGAGAGACAGCGAATGGGGCCCGGCGGAACGCGAGCGGCGCGGAACGAGCCGCCAAGCTCACCTAGGCCTACTTGCGGCGCTACTTACTGCGCTGCGCCGCGACGCCGCGACTTACCGAAACCCGATTTGCACGCGGGGTGGCCGGGGGTGGCCGGGGGTCGGCCGGGGGCACTCGCCGCTCGCATCGTTGTGCACTGCACTAGCGCCCCAGAGAACACCTCGCGCATTTTCAAGTCGGGAAGGAAGCCTCTTGATGGACCGGGTGATGAAGAAAATGAATAAAATAGCGACCCTGGGAGGGCACGTTCGCGTTCGGGGCTCGCCAGGCCAGGCTGCGCGTGGAGCACTCGGCAAACACCGAGGCAATGACCACACCGCGACGCGACGTGCGTGGCTTACAATGCCGAGCGAAGGCTGGCTTTTGGGGGAAGCGAATAACTCGGGCGTGGTTTCGCGAGTGGCGCGAGGCAGTTTCGCGAAGCCAGCCGGCGGCCGGTCGAACCGCCAACCAACCCGCCGCGGCGGCAGTCTGCTCTGAAAGTGCCACCGCCTTGATTGGCAGGACCTGCAGGCCTTCGCGGACCTCTTTTTCCTCCCTTTTACAAGAGCTCGACCTTGACCATGTTCGCCGCGCACCTCGCCGCCGTACTACCCGCCGGGCCGGTGGGTCGCCGGGAAGCTTCGGGAGGCGCTTGGGACGCAACGGTGCATTTTGGGGGCGAAAGCTACAACGCGGTGGGCCCGGGCAGCGCCGGGCAGGCAGGCCCAGGTCGGTGGGGAGGTCACTGCCCCCTCGATCCTCGAATCGGCTTGGATGGCTCGAGGAAGCAGGGCGAGACAATGCGCGCTTCCGAGCGCGCTTCCCTCAGCAAGAACACTGTCGTGCCGACGCAGCTCCGCGGCGCACTCGGCTCCTTGGCATGAAATAGCTCCCCTGCCAAACTCGACCAAATACTCACCCTCAGAGGCGAGCTTCATGAGGGCTCCGGTCATGGCGTCCTTGAAGCACTCCTGGAACTGGGGGTCGCTCCTCTTGCACACCTTCCAGCTGGAGGCTGCAAATCGGGAACAAGGACCTCAGTTCGGACAAACCCAAAAGCGTCCCGTTGCAGTAACAGAACCTCCTCGGGGCACTCACGGAGTTTGCCAGCCTTCGCGTGCGCCGTGCAGCACGCGGCGGCCAGGACGGCGAGGAGGATGAGGTACTTCATGGTGGCGGCGGGCGGGACGCGGCACGGTGGCTGCTGAAAAGCGGTTTGAAGCGTCCGGGCCGACCCTGCTGCTTTATACGGCCTGGGGTCCACCAGGGTCCACGCGCCCCTCCCCGCCGCACCGTCCGCGCCGTCCGCTGCGGAGGTGGTAGCCATGCTTCCGCAGGAACTGGGCTGGCCACTGCCTCAGCAGCGTCGGTAGCGTAGCGTCGCGTCGCGGGTGGCGGCGGCGTGGAGGGAGGAGGCGGTGGCGTCCTGCGGCTGGGGTGGCCGGCCGAGAGCTATCGGGGAGGGGAGGTACTCGACGGAGGGCGCAGAGCGTGTCCTTGGCGTCCTTGGCAGTCCTTGCGTCGGAAGGGCGGTCTGCTCCAGAACCAAAGAACCGGCTTGCACTTTGTCCGGCACTGGACAGGCCGCGGATGGTGAAGAGCGGCGGGCGACGACTGCAAGCTGCAAGCGGCAAGGTCGAGCAAGGTCGGCAGGTGAAAACTATCCTCATTATGCCTCGTGTTTGGTCAAGTATGGCGGCGGCACGCTTAACGTTTTCACCCGAAAAACACACGGTGGGCTTGGCATGGCTTCGTGATTTGCAGCTGCGCTAGCGGCCGATGAGTGGTGGTTGTGCAGAGTGGTCACCGCCAACGAGCACCTTGCGCGTCCACGGCCCACTGTCCGCGCACTGGAGCGGCGTGCAGCGCGGTGCAGCGCCGCGCCGCTCTGCGTCGCTCTGCCGCAATCACAGTGAGATCCGTGTCACGGCGACGGTCCAGCTCCTTTGCCTTGGTTTCCAAAGTGCCGCACAACGCGGTGTGGGTGCGGGGACGAGGAAGATGCGCTGCAGGGCGGCGCGGCAGGACTGACGGCGTGCCCTCGAGGCCCCCGTCGAGGTAGGCAGTCCGCCGACGGCGCTGCGTCCGGGACTGCCTTCCGGTTGCGATTGGTCGCCTCGGGATGCACACTGCGTCGTCACAGACTCGGGCGTGTTCGGACGGTCGGGCCACGACGGCGCGAGGCGCGACGGCCCCCAGAGGCGACCAGAGCGTTGCTTGCGGCATGGCTTCGACACGCGCTTCGACAGCCGCCCCTCGAAGGGCGGTCCATTTCCCCGGAAATCGTTAGGCGAGAGATGACCTGGCATTTTGCCTGCTCCGTGTGTGTTTTTCTCTGTTTGTTCTGCTCGCACTGGGAACTCTGTCTGCGCCCCGCACTAGACCAGCTTGGCGTGCCAGTGGCACGGGCCGCGGCCTGCGGGCTGCCTGGCGTGCGACGTGCCTCGAGAGGTGCTGCGGCTGCGGCGACAGAGACAGAACAATGCAGCAGGGCACGGCACGGCGCGGCACGTCACGGCGCGGCCACGAGCGCGGTTTAATTTCAGGATCATTCCAGTGTCCACCCGAACTGGGCGGCCTGCCCTGTAATTTGGCATTCGGCCACTGCAGGACGCTGCGTACTCATACTCAATGAGGTAGACACGTTTCCCACCGTACCCCCGAAAAAAAAACAGGGAAAAGACACACACAATCACCATCCATTTTCACATTAAGAGGCGTTTGCGCTGCGGACTTAAAGATGTCTTTTGAGGTGGCGGGGTACATGAAGGAGGCGGGGGACGCTCGTGTCGGAGAGCGCTGCAATTTGACACTGGAGTTTCATCGTCGCCGGCTAAACAGCCCTGGGACACGTGCTGCAGGAAGAGTTAATTCCTTTTCATTTAGCTGCGTGTCAGAGAGGAACTGACTGAAGCCGACAATCGGTGAGGTGAGTCAAAGGCGCGAGGAGGTGTGCACTCACGGAGCAACCCGAAGCCACGCATTACGCGTACGTAAACGTAATACCGTTTTCGGGCGAAATGTGACTATATTATCGCATTTCAATGCCGTGATACACGCGTTATGCGACCGTCGCACAGAGTCACACCGAGCAGCCTGAACACGATTCCTGGTAGTGACACTGGATGATTTCTCCAACGAGTGACTGACTGAATGCGGGGTCTACGTGACCCGGCGGCGGCGGCACGTTGAGGCGTCGCGGCGTCGCGTGACCGCCCGGCCGCCCGAGGAGGACAAGCGGGGCGTCGCGGTGGCGCCGGCCGCGGCACCCGGCACGTCCAACACTGCCGCCGCCGCGGGTTCGCGAAGAGAAAGACGTCGCCGAACACGCGAGGCCCGGTCCAGCCCCGGTCCAGCCACTCGATTCGCAAGGGTCGCTTCGTCGGCCTGCCTCCGTCACACCGCTAGGGCCACCCCATGACTGTGAGAGAGACACAAGTCTTCGCGCGTCAGCCGCACTCGGCCACCTCGGCCGTGCCGTGCCCTAGGTCGCCGCGCCGCGCCGCGCCGCCCGGGCCGCCGGCTGCCCTTATACGCCGCGCCTGCCGCGCCTGGCCAGCTGGTTTGCTATTATCGGCGGCAGGCAGGTGTTGTCGCTGCCGTTCGATTATTATTGGTCCAGCGTGACAACCGGCCGATGACGTCAGCGAGACCACGGCACGCCATCGCAGTGGACTCGCGGCACGGCAGGCATTATTACACTTGACGAGGACTTTTCGGCGGGAAAATTCGAAACTCCGCCGCGGTGCCGCGCGGTGCAGCCTGGCCGGTAATGGCGGCTCAGCCGTTCGACTCTTCAGTTTTAATTTTATTTCCCTCCAGTGCGCTTTGCCGCTGCGTGCTGTAAGTACGCGCAGGTCGCCCTGACATTACCCCACTGCCCCCATTCCGACCGGGTTATCGCTGCGGTGGCGCGCCGCGTTGCCGGCCGCCGGCGTCTCTCTCGCTCGCGCTCACGGCGCGCGTCGCAAGGGCCGCGAGGGTGCGAGAGAGACAGTCGGCTTGATCGCTCGTCGCGGAGGTGACTGGCCGATGCTGGCGCCTCGGAGGCGCTCCTCTCCGCAGGGCGCGGAGCCGCGGAGCGACGCGTGACATGTGACGCGCGGCCTTGGCCGTGACGGCGTTTGTGAGCGGGAGAGTGTGAGTGTGTGAGTAAGTCGAATAAATGGTACAGAGTCTCACACACGGAAACGGTGCAGCAGCAGCGGCAGCAGCGGCCGCGGCAGAACCGCGCTCTTCTCTTCAAATTACACGTTCCGTGGGAATAATTCTTTTTCGAGAAGGCTGTGCCAGTTGCCAGTGCCAGTCGTCGGGATGGCGTTTCGGCTCCGCGTTTTGGCCCCGCACCGCGAGTCGCTCTGTGCCGCTGTGCCTCCGGGCGGCGGTGGCGGTGCCGGCCGGACCGCGCCAGTCCACGCGCTCGGCCTGTTAGGGGCCGAACCACGCGCTCGGCCTGTTAGGGGCCGAACTATTGGCACGCACCCCTCTCTCTTTCCCTCCACACCTCTTCCCTCTCCCTCTCTCTCTTCCTCTCTCCGACGCCCCGGCCGCTTTCTCGGTGGGTCCCTCTCTTTCGCGCCACCCTCGTTCGCACCGCACGCGGAGAGGACCTCGGAGAGGACAGCACGCATTGCGCGCCCGTCCGACCCGCCAAAACAACCCGTTACCGATTCAGAGGCGAGTTTGTCTCTCTCTCGCACCCTTACAGAGTGTCCGGTGCGTGCGAGAGAGATGGAACGACTCGTTGGATGTGCTGGCCTGGGGAGGCCCCCGTTGCCGGGTCGTTGCGCCCGACGCCCTACTCGCCCGCGCGGAGCCGAGCCGGTCGGGGGGTCGGAGCCCTGCAGGCCTCCGATACCGTACGCCGCGCCCGGACTGCGGTGTCGTCGCCCTGTCCGCCCTGTCGCACTCGGCACCGTAAAAACGGTTCCTGGTTTTCCCAGAAACTCCCTGAAAATCGCCTTTGCCTTCACCATTGGCTTCCTGGGAAAACCAGGAACCGTTTTTACCGTGAGGGCGTCCGCGGGGCTGCGAGAGAGACAGAGCGACCAAGCTCTGCGAAGCTCTGCGATGCTCTGCGAAGCGTGCCCCGTTGCCCCGGCCGCCGCCAAGCCTTCGCCACGCGCCGCGCGAGACGGAATAGGTCCCCTAGAGCTCCGAATGCCGAAGACGTTAAGACGCCGTGCGTGTGCGTCACTTACAAAAACTCGCGCCTTGCCGGACGACTCGGAATGGCCGCATTGCCTTGCGCCGCCCCGAGACCCCCGTCTGGGTGGCGTCGTCGCCGTGCTGCGCCGTGCCCGTGTCGCTGTGGCCAGTGCGTCATCCGGGGCGTCACCCGTGCGGTTACCGCGGTTACCCGCCGCCGGGCGCCGCGATCCCGATCGGCGATCCGCACTCCAAGGCTCCAGTCAAAACAACACTGTACACAGTGCGTAAACGGCTCGGGGCTCCGGAACGCCCGAAACGTGCCGCCGCCAACGTCGACTGCGTGTCCTCTGCGTCCTGCGTAAAACTGCGTCAGTCTCCGCCAGTACAGTGTGCGGCGTGCGTCCTCGCCGGGGACGCAGGGAGGCGATCGCAACAACGAGCTGCGTCTTTGGCCGGTGAGTAAGCTTGATGAGCTGGTCACTGAGTTTTTTCCCTTCCTGTCTGCATGCAGATGCATAAGAACAAAGCCATCTCTCGCGTTTGTTTTGGTTTCATGTTGTTGTTGCTGCTTTCGTCGTTTTTCTTCTTTCCGCCTGACGCTATATGACCTCGGCGTTGCCGTAGGCCAGTGACTTTCTACTTGTTTGTTCAATTTTCGATAAGTTCGCGGTTTCGGGAGAACTAAACGCCCAATCCCAGCGGGAGGACGCCGCCAGACCGAGCCCCGCCGCGCACCGCGCCCCGCGCAGCTGGCCGGGCAGGGCGGGTGCAGGCCAGTGCAGGCCAGTGCAGGTGGGTCAAGGGCTGCCGCGCTGTCGCTCCGTCTCTGTCGCACTCGCTGGGCGTCCGCATGGCGGTACGCATGGCCGTGTAGGGGTGCGAGAGAGACAGAGCGGCGAAACGGCCCTTTGGAATGAGGCGGCTGGCCCGGGCTGGCCTTGGCGGCGGTGGCGGTGCAGCCGCTCCTTTCGGGGCTCCTCGCTCCAGTGTGCAGCACGGGTGCAGCACCGCAGCTTCGGGGAAGCCCAGCCCTTAGCGCAGCGCCGCGGCACGCCTCACGCAGCAATGGCTGCTTGTCTTGGCCGCGACGACCCCTGGCTCCTTTTGGTGCTGTAACTGTACCCGTCTTCCAGCCCAACCAAACTGCCGACCAGTCCAGTCGCCGGGGGCCGGGACCGCGGGCCGGGGCCGGGGGCCGAGTCCTGCCTGGAAAGCACCATTGTCGTCGCCGGACCCGTTGAACTCGGACTCACATTCCAGCGGCCACTTTGCGAACCCTGCTGCCCTGCTGCCCTGCTGCAAGCCAGATCACCTTCACGCCGCTCGGCGGGGGAGGGGGGGGGGCACGCCCAGAGGTTCATTCAACGGACGGGAAGACGGCCGCCCACAACACGCCGTGCTCAATGGGCTCCAGGCGGCTGCCCCCCGCCCCGCGCCGCCCCGCGCCGCCCCCCGTACGAGGCGTACGTCGAGCCTGTTTGACGAGTTGGAGTTTGTGACACTCGCGCGGCCGCGCGCGGCCCCCTCCCTGGCCGCCAGCGCCACCGCCTGCAGCTTGGACTCTGCCCCGGCGAGGCAGGCAGCCCTGCCGACGCCGCGGCCCGTTGGGCTGCCTGCCCGGCTGCGATCGCAGCGGCGGCGGCGGCTGGCCAAAGACTGAAGGCTGCTCTCGTCGCGCTGTCTCTCTTGCACTCACAGAGTGTCCCGTGTGCGAACTTGTTCGAAATCAGACTGCTGCGACCTCGTGCCGGGGAAGCAGTTTTCGTCGGTTTTCGTTCGGTCGGTCGACGTCGTTGTAGTGCCGCTCCACTCGGCGCGGTTTTGCGTCGCTTTGCGTCGCTGAATCCAGCCATCCAGCCTGCCAGGCTTTGAGGAACCAAGGCAGCCAGTCGCTGCGTGTTTGATTTAGTTTCGCCGTTTTCGCCTCAGAGTTCCGCGTGCCGATGCAGTAGGCTCCTCCCGTGCCACTGATTGATCGGCCGCCAAGCTGCCGTGTCCCGGGAGGTCCCCGTTCGGTTCGCGCCAACCTGAGACCCGTCCGACACAGCCGCCTCGAGGCAACGCGAGGCAAGGACTATACTTCTTTCTATGTTCAGGCATCGGGACCTTCTTCGGCAGGTGAGAATTCAGACCGGATTGTTTTTCTTTTCTTTTAAATTTATTCTTAGAAGAACAAGGCAACAGCACTACAGCCAACAAACACTCAATCAAGAAATCCATCCATCCATCAATCAATATCATAAATTAATACAAAACACACACAAGGAGACACACACACACATACACGCATCGTGAAGTTTGTACAATGGAAAATGAGGGGATGATGATGATGATGATGATGATGATAGCCGATCTTCTTAACTTTAATCACAGCTTCGATAGGACACGACAATCGACACAACTACATACGACTATTCTACACTAGGAAGAGTGCGAAAAATTGAGAGCAGAGGTGCAGTTAAAAATGGGGCTTTTCGGCCGTGAAACAAGTGAGCTGGGGTGAGTTTACAAGAAGATGGAGTTGTACGGCACTCGGCGGAAGATGCGGTTGCTGATGTCTCCGAACGCGGCGCCGAAGGCCTGCGAGATGGCGGGCTTGAGCTCGCCCAGGATGTCGGACCAGTTCTCGTTCAGGAAAACGTTCATCGAGTCACCTGGAAAAAAGAAACAGACCAAAGTTAGGAATCGCAATCGAATGTACAACTTGTGCGCGAAAGGCGAACGAAAGTCCAGCGCTACTCACTGAGCTGCTTGTTGCCGTTGAAGAGGTTCTCCAGCTTGATCTTGAGGCGGGAGGTGTCGAAGGTGAACTTGAAGTCCACCAGCTCCATGTAGACGTTGTCCTTGACTTTGCTCTCCTTGCCGATGAGCTCCACCATGCCGGTGACGTTATCGAGCTGCAGGTCGCACGCGCCCTCGCCCTTGATGGGCAGGATGAGCACCTTGCCGTCGATCTTGTACTGGCCCTTGAGGTTCACGCCCTCGGCCAGCGTGACGGGGGCCATGAAGTGGAACTTGTCGACGTCGGCACTGCAACAAGAGTGGCGCACTGTAGTTTCCAGTGAGGGGAGACACGTCGGGGAGCTGCGGCGGCGGACTTACTTGATGACGCCGACCTTGGCCTTCTGCAGGCCGCTGATCAGCAGGTCCTTGAAGTGCAGCTCGATGGAGACGGGCCCGGTGCCCTGGTCGATGTCCAGCTGCTTGATGGTCAAGGGGTCGATGGGGAAGACGCCGAACTCCTTAGCGCCTGGAAGTGTTTTTTGGTCGTAAGAATCATGGTGGCAGTCACGGCCAGGCGGTGCTGCAGTGCTGCACACGGAGCCCCTGCCACGGCGAGGATGGGCACGCCCGCGCGACAGCCGTGCCGGCGGATGGCCCACCCGGCAGGCGCTCCATTACCATTACCACTACGGACTGGCAGTGCCGCTCACACACACTCACACACACACTGTTCTGTACTGGACATCGCTGATGCTCACCCTTGGCGCTGAGGTCCTTGACGGCCACGTGCACGGCGTCCCTGATGCACTCTCCGAACTTGGGGTCCGACTTCTTGCACCTGGGCCAGTTGGAGGCTGCAACGAGGAGCGTCTCCGGTTAGTCGGGTCGCTACACCGCACTGACCTGCCGCACCACGCTACTTTCCCTCTCTGCCTAAACACCCCAGGCAGCCTAAGGCAGCCCAAGGCTCTCCAGAAGTTCCACGGGTAATCTGTGCGCCAATCAGCGCCGCTTATCGCAGACTTCGTGGACCCGGGCGCTGTCTCGCTGAGGCACTGCCGATGGCGGCTGTTGTATTTTTGGGGCACTAGCGCACCGCCACATGAGTTGGCGAAATAAAAAATATTTCGAAATGCACTTGTGTGCACCTAAACTTAATAGTTCTGCTCTCGAGGAGTTGCCCAGTGGGCAGTCAGAGTCAAGGGTTGGCGACCCTTGCATAAGTGCATCGCGGTAGATTTTGCCTTTTGTTGGCAACACCGCCGCCAGGGCGCCGCTGCAGTCAGAGAAACCCGCTCTGTCATTCCGTTTGCAACACTTTTCACTACAAAGTTTGGCGATACTAAAACCGCGTTTGCGAGTCCCACGATTCAGCGCTTGCCATAAAAGAGCCTTTTGTCGTAATTTTGAAAGCAGAAGTTCGCTATAAAAATGCTGATTGCATTTTTTTTCGGTAGGCATTAGCATTGCAAAACATAGCAATATTTTTTTTTAGGCACGAAGTAGCCTTATAGTATACCCAGGACTCAGCCGGCTCGAGATTTGATTTGTGTGGCCCTTTATGCATTTCGGAAGTTTTCTATACGATTTTAATGAGATTTTGCAGACTAGTAGAACTTTGAACGCTGATTCTGATGTTGAAATCTGGTCAAAAATTTGGTGGCCAATTTTGAGAAATTTGCTGTCAAAATCGCCGTTTCCATGGCAAAACTCGACTCGTCAAAGGAAAAAAAAGGGAGTGGGGGGAGCCGAGCCGGGGCGGACCAATAGCGGAGCTTCTTTTTGGGTCTGTACAGCTTACTCCAAAAGCTGAAAAAGCAACGTTCGAAATGAAAAATTTCTTTGACTGCAGGTAGACAAGATGCAACAATAGAATTGGTGCCGGTTCGAACGCAGTTTTTCGGGTAGAACTATCCAATAATACTTCTTGATTGGAGTGTTTTTGGACATGCGCAGTGTTGTTGTTGTGATTCAGTTAGCACTAGGACCACTTCGCTCCACCTCGCGACTTGCAGTGCTCATGTTCCTCGAACAAGACTCACCCGCGTTTCGAAACCATCCCTCCCGAGTTTATGAAGTTTGTCAAACCAACCGTCGTGGTGTTGATACGTTGTAAGGGAGAACTATTACACAGAATTGAAGAAAACATGACTAGAGAACCATAGCCTTTTGAAACAAGCCAAACAATTCAACGTCCACATCCACAACAATGGAGGGGCAGTTTTAATGCGCGACTGCTGGCGCTTTCAGCTTCGCGATTTTCGCAAGGGCGCAGACGCCGAGAAAATAGTTGCCAACCCGAGAAAATTAATTTACTGACTTCTTTCTGCTAAGAACATTTTAATCATGATGGACTTCAAAGATGTTCCATTGTCAGAACACTGCGGAATACATTAGCATTGGAATTTTTTGAATTTACCAGCATTTTGATTTCTTTTTATTGTCAAGTTTAAATTTCGACGGATGGCACATCGACCACATTGGTACCACTTCTTCACAACCACAACTTCACAACACCACTTCTTTTCTTTCTCCACACTCTTACACAATAATCAAATTGACTTCGTGACTCCTAGGATTTCTTGAAATCGTATTTTTTTTTTATGGCAAAGACGGTGGTTATTGCAACTTGGATGACCGGCCGTGCGAACGCGCCGTGACTCATCAGTGCGGGGCCGAGGGCCGTGCTGGCGCTGGCCCGGTCACGGTCAAGATCGAGCTCCGTCGAGCCCCGTCGAGCCCCCAGGCTCCTCCCCTGCCTGCCCGGCCGGGCCTGGGACTGCCGGGCGCTGCCGTGCCGGGCCATCACGTCCACAGCCGCACCGCCGCACCGCCGCACCGCGACTTGTTGACTTGTAAATACGCCCGGCCAGCGCGTGCCGCCAATGTGAAGCGGGCACGCAAAAAAAATTGGACGCACCGCGGGACCGCGGCGTGCGTAGACGAAGAGAGAAAGACAGTCAGACAGACAGAGACGGAGAGACGGAGAGCGTTGCCACGTGCCGGTAGCCCGCACGGTAGCCGGCCGCACGGTAGCCGGCCGCACGGTGGCCCGCCGCGCTCGGACAGGCAAACGGGCACGACGCCTCACGCGGCATGCGACACGCGACGTGAATCAGCAACTGTTTCCGGAATCTTGGCGATCGGATCGGGGAGTACGGGGAGTATCACCTCGGCGACGCACGACAAGTGCGAGTGCTGCTGGGTGCGGTGCGGCGCGGCCCTAGCACCTCGGCGCGAACCCTAGGCGCCACCTCGCTACGAAGGCCCGCGGCCGCGTCGCCATGGCCACGCAGGACCTGGCAGGACGCAGGAGCCCTTTCGACCGCTTGTCTCCAACAAGGTGGCCACTACCCTGCCGGTCGCGGACCTCTCCTCGTGCTTCCAGGTAGCCGCCGTCGGGCGCCGTGGTGTGTCTGGTACTCACGCAAGCTCTTGGGGGCGGCCGCCGCGACGGCGAGGAAGGCGACCAAAGCGAGCACGGCGCGCATGGTGGCCATGGTGTCGATCCGCTTTCTGTCTGCGCTCGTGGATGCCGTCGCTGTGTATCGTCGCGGCCCGGGCCCGCCGCAGCGTCTTATATATACAGAGGCCTCCGAGACTCCGAGGGTGGGGCCTGGCGGCGGGGGCCTCTGACTCTCCGACGGCGCGGCTGGCGCGGCTGGCGCGGCCCGCGGGGCTGGGCTGGCCGGCGTGCCGCTGTCTGTCAAGAGATAGCCGGCGAGCCCCTCCAGGAGCCATCCCCCTCTAGGGGCCGCCCCTTCCGCCCCTTCCCCGCGGTCACGTGGTCACGTGGCAGCAGTCGTTGCGCCCTAGAGGCAAGGCCTTACGCGGCGCGGGGCGGGCAGCTCGTAGCTCCGTCCCTGTCGCGCTCGCACCGAAGGGCTCCGGGACGGACAGAGCGATGACAAGACTCGCCGGAATCGCTCGGCTGGCGAGGGTGCTCCACCCGGCTCCACCCCTCGCAGACACTGCGAGACACGTGGGCTTGTGGGCTCGAAATTCACCACCTTGACCGTGGGGCGTGGGGTGGGGGCCATCCAGAATTGCCCGCTGGGCGATTTGGGCGATTTGGCGCAGTTTCTCGCGTCCAAACCAAACTTTGAATGATTTAAGATGGGTCGACTTCCGTAGATTCCTCGTGACGTTACGAAAACCAGTTGTTCATGGATGGCGGCGTGGCGAGGCGTGGCGCGGCCTGGCCGCCCGGGACTTCGGCAGGGACACTTACACTTCCGCGACGGCACCCGTTCTAACGGTGGGCCTGCTGCTTCCGCAGTCACCACCTCCATGATCGATCACCACTATGTACGAGCACTTTCGACCACCAATGATCACTTCCAATTACGTCCTCCATGGCCACCTCTACGGCCATCTGCATACGTCTACGACCACCCCCATGACCTCCTGAGGGGCAACCACTCGCCATGCAGGCAGGGCAGTCCCGGCCGGTCCCGGCTCTACAGTAATTCGCTATTGCAGATTGAACGCAACAACGTTGCGGGTCGACCACCTGCTGGCCCGGCCGGCCCGGCGTATCCAGAATCACTGCCAAGGGCAGCTCCCCGCCCCGAACTGGGTAATTTTGGGGCGGCCACGTGGTCCTGACTGAGTCACAGGCCCGACGTCGACCGCCCGGACCGCTCGGACCGCGATCAACCATCACGTCCTCTGTGCAGGTCTCAGCAGGCAAGCGCGGAGACGGGGCAAAAAATGAACCAAGTACGCAGGCTGGTGTTGAACCCCGATTATTTTCGCGCACCCTGGCCTCCACACGTGTGATCATTGTGCTAATAAACCGACAATACCAACCTTTGTGTCTTTTTGTTTTTTTTTCAGAGTACCAGTAACGAGTACCGACCAGTACCAGCCCAGTTTCCGGTTGAAGCATTATACCGCGGACGTGAAGCCGACGCGCCCACAGTGTTTTTATAACTATCCTTGCGCGAACTCCCAGCCCAGACTGTTTTGAATTCTTCTTTTTTTCGGCATAATGCTTGGCATTAGCAGATCAGCTCACATGCGCGATGCCTCAAAGTCGGTTTTGGCACTTCCCCCGGTCGTCTCGTCTTCGGGCCGCTAGCCACCGGCCGCCTGCTGGATCTCTTTTTTGGGGGAGCGACGTCCACCTCGACAGCCGGATGATGTAGTGGTCATTTGCTATGTGTTTGCGTAGTCCGGCCGAATGATAAACCCGTTTTGGCAACGCGTGGCTGAGTGCCGCGAGAGAGCTATTTTTCGGAGCGTCCCTTCATGTCGCTTGGCGCTCCATGCCGCCGAAAACGAGGCACACTTACGAAACGTCATTTCTTTCTTTGACAAGTTGTCAAAAGCGAAAGGAAATGCCAAAACTTCAATTTATTCATAAAATTGTTGGCTCATTTGTTTTTTTAATTCGGCCTCTGCCTTGGTGACGCACGAAGGGGCGGCCAGTCTGGCGTGCCTGCTGCGGAGCGCTGCGGAGCGCTGCGGAGCCGTTTCGCGCTCGGCCGAGAGGAGAAGATGGGTCGATGGGTCGTCCTGAGCACCATTATTTTTATGTGTGCGTATATATTCCCCGTTCCCTGCTCGTTTTCCGGACCCGAGGGGCCGGCCGGGCGAGGGGGCCGCTTGAACGGTACGCAAAAAACAAAACTTTGCCCCTGTTACGTTTTTGGCAAAATGTACTGCTTTGTACTGCAGCTGGTGTGTGGGTCGGTTCGCATGTCGTAGACGTCCTGGAAGGACAAAGCACAGTACTTCCACTGTACCCACACACTAATGGCATGTCCATCACGCCACGCGCCGCGTTGGTGCAGCAAGAGTTGGCAAATTTCTTTTGTCGGATTCTCATTTTCTTTCCTTTCTTTTTATTGGCACGTCGTTCGGGGTCCCATTAGGTGCAATTTGGTGAGGGCCCGCCGCGTCCGTCACTGTCCGCGTCTTTAATACCGCGAGAGGCAGCCGCCGTGAGACATTTGAAATAAAAAGAAAGAAAAGAAAAATTAAGCGGGCGTCCGTCGTCCACTATTCGTTCAGTCCAGTCTTGTTCATTTTTGACACGGGTTTGTTTTCATCGTATCAACTGTACCAGCTCGCCAAAACAGCCCAGCCCAGCTGACATGAATTTGGAGCGATGACCACTTCGCGCGCTGTCTCGACGCCCAAAAGTATTTGCGCGTAAGTAAAGTCTCTTCCAATCCGGTCCGATCAGGAAAGGTGATAAAGAAACGCGCGGGGGGGGGGGGGGGGTCCAGCCTTTACTCCGGCGGCCCCGGCTCCAGCCTGGTAGGGATTCCCAGGGTGTTACTGCATGCACCGTTTTGACAGTTTGTGCCTCGTCGGATAATGAGGCTCAAAGTGCTTTTGGGACAGTTTGGGAGCGTCAGAGCAGTCGCGTTTCGGTGGCACTGTGGCACCACCGGGAAACAGCACAATGCGCTTTTCCACCAGGAGACCGGACTAGAGACCCTCCCGTCAGAGATGCGCAAGGGGGGGCCCTCTCAGCCAATCACAGACGACTGGTAGTCCCATGCGGAGCGGGAAGCCCGAATTCGCCCCGCGCGAGGCTACGCAGGCCCGCTAGCCTGACTCAGGGTGCCTTTGACTCCACGGGACTACCAAGCGCTTGCTTGCGCATCTCTGACGGGAGGGTCTCTAGACCGGACCTTCCTCCTGCAAAGAGACCACCAGCGATTATCAACTGCGTTTTGAGGCCACCGCCGATATTCGGTCCTGTTCCAGAGCAACTGACTTTGTTTCAAAATGTACCGCCATTGGCGCTTACCTTAGCAGGCAAAGAAAGGCGCTGAAGTGAAGCACCAGATTATTATTGCATGCAGACTAGATAAACACTAGTTTAAACAAAATATTTTATTTTATTCAATGAAAATATTAACACATAAAAAATAGTAATGAGGCTTACAGTAACAATTTATATAAATACTTGCTAACAGTATGAGATAATATGGAGATTAATGAGACTTGTGTTCTTTTAAACAGATGCATGAATATTACAATATTTATACACATACCTAACAAACAACCCACTATCTAGTACACATCTTTAACACACATTTCTGCCTTTAGAATAAGAGCTTCAGCCTGTAAGATATTTCCTGCTATAGAACAGAGCTTTCTTCTCAAATGCCGAGCACTGAATAGGTGAGTTTATTGTGTAAAAAGGATTCATCGAATACTGAGAAAGGAAAACAAATTAAGTAGAATACAATAGACATTTAAGCACTTCCCCATAAATATTCATAATTACAAACCTTTATATAGCTTTCATACATCTCCATGAAAAAGTTTTTGATACCATCTTCATTTTTGGTATCATGTACCATGATGAACCTCATCCGGCTTGCTGTGACAAACGCAGAAACAATCCACTGGTTGAACTTATCGACTGACTTCAGGTACATGCCATTGGTTTTCCACATATGCTCATCAACTAAATCAAGTGCTGCATGAGCAACAAATTCATTAAGGTGACGGTGGTCTTCTTTCTAAAAACAAAGGCGAGCAAAGTGCCCAAAAATTTAATTAAAACTGCAAAACTTTGTAAGTAAAGTATATTAACAGTAAACATTGACAGTTAGAGAAGAGACAAGTTAGGGAAGAGACGAGGAGGTGGAAAGTTTCCAATCCTCACTTTACCCTAGACCGTTTTGTGTTAGTAATAATTGTAACTGTTAAGTGTAGATTTTCTAGAGTTGATACAACTTAATAATTACCTTTTGTTCTTTTGGGACAGGTGGAAAATCCATCTCAAATATAGGGTTGTCATTATGCCCTACTATAACAAAATAATAATTATTTGCCATAGTATCTCAGTTGATCTACGATTCTTCAAAACTGACTACTGAACGAATCAATATTGATAGGACGACTGGATTAAAGTGTCACCGCTAAGTTATTTACAAACGTTTAAACGTTTCAGTTTTGACAGGTTGGAGTTTTCTTCTGCTGCTTGCTTCGTAGTCTCGTAGCCAACACCTTCACACCTCACTGTATATGGTACATCCAAGATTGATTTGTAGGGAATAGAATTGAAAAATCATCCCTAATCAAATTTATTCAACAGTATTTTATCACTTCCAGTCGCATTGTTTAGATTCATGACTTTAAATAGTTTTCTCTTATCATTTATTTCGTTTGGGAGTGTTGGCAAAATTTGTCCGTCCGTAGCGCTGCTTGCGGCAATCCGAGGAACTAATTGTCCTCTCACAAGGCCGTTTGCTGCCCACTAGTGTGCAATTTTGTCAAAGATCGTCTTTATCCGAGCAGGTTGAATTTTAATTTCAAACATGTTTGCCATGAACGCAGTTCGGCGGGCAGCTGCTGTTGCCATTAGGAGCGATGGCAGCAGGCGAGGAGTGGCAGCTTACACCGACATCGTAGGCACCCCACCAACCGTCAGGATCTCTTTTTCCGTGAGTCTTCAATTTACTCTAAACCTGCTGCTTTTACATCCATTTTACTTTCGCCCCTCCTTTTAAATCTCCCCGTTTTGTAAGCTGTCATCTATGCCTCCAGTATGACTTGGCGTGCCGCACAGACAAAGCCCATCAGCAACCCTAACCTGACTTTTTTCGTCTGCTGGCTCTGTAATTTTACGAGTCCATTGCAGTGGAACACGAGTGACAGCTTCAAAATCTAATGTAATATCTCAGTATTGCCCATTCGTTCGGATTTGCTGGTCAGATGTTTTCTTCCCCTCCATGCATGTCAGCCTGTAGCTATGAATGCCACCTGTAAAAAATGGAACCACAAAAGCCAGTTGTTCTGTTCTGCACTCAAGCATGTCCAGAATTTTTACTGCCTGGAACTTTGTTTACATGTGTGACTTTTATTTAATTTAATTTTGTTCTTTTTGGTTTGCCAGGAGAAAGTTGGCCATGGCGTCCTCCTCTTCTTTGGAATCATGGGATACCCGATCTACAGCATGCTTGAGATGGCTAAGATAAGGTCAGAAGAATATGCCCAGTTGGAGATTCCTGAAGAATGGCAGGCATGGAAGGAGAGGCAACAGAAGTAAATGACTAGTTAGCTAATTGTAGTATTGTCATTTCTCTTTAAGTTCTAATGGCGAAACTTTGTTAATGTATGCATTTTATCCAAGTTTTCGGGTACTCAACCTTTCCATTCCTTTGGCATTTGAATACAACTTTTTATTTTGTATAGTGTGTTATTTGATTTTATGGAAGCCTTGATTTGAAGGAAATAAACATATTTGCCTATGATACTTGATTGTTTTAATATATTTTGTTCCAAGCCATACATCCAGGTACAATTAAACAAGATAAAAACAAACTTTGATGCTATAAACAAACCTTTAGTCAAACATCATAAAAACGTGTTACAGTGCACAGCCATATAATCATCAAACATAACTTGCAAAGGGTCAGCAAGTACTTTTTTTAAATCTCTTAGGACAGGGTTTCTCAAAATCAGTCAGTTCACCAAGCTTTCGCTTGTTCTGAATCTCCTGTAACCAAATAAAAATATAGGCATAATCTAGATAATTCGGATTCAAGCTGAACAGTTTAGTAGGACCTACCCTCAAAACTAATCCAGAGTGACCACGTCTGGTGAAGATAGGGATTTCCCTCCTGAGGCAGCATTTTTCATTATTAGTTGTTGCTGCTGTTGCTGCTGTGCTTGCGCCAGCTGCTGCTGAAGGCTCAGGCTCAGAGCAGTCACCGGGATGTATGCTTGAACAGTTGCCTGTCCATCTAGAAAGATTCAGGAAGAAGATTGATTTTCAACTTAAGACTGAACTTGATTTTATCAGTGTTCAAAAACGGCAACTTACCCATAGTTCTTGCAGGAAGATAATAAATATGTTGGTCTGTGAGCCTGCTCACGAATTCCAGTAAGCTCCGATTCGGTACTGTCTGAGCTGTAGTTTGTGGAGCCTTCACTGTCTCGTCCTCCTTTCTAGTGGCAGAAAACAACTACAAAAAAATATAGTGCATTTAAAAATGTACCATACAGTAGATTAATTTTGTATAGTTTTAGTATATATGCTAGCATAAAAAAAAGTGGTGAAAATGATTGCCATTTTAAAATGCATCTTACCTCATTAGAATGACGTACATCAGCAATTTTAATTCCTAATGTTGAACCATTCATGTGACTATTCGGATCAGTCCCAACCTAAAGAAAGAAATCAAATAAAAGAAAAAAGTAATGAAGTCCAGGTTGGTAGAGCTACATGCCACACCAGAAGAACTTCTCCTGGTTACAAGTAGTTGATAAGGACTAATAATCATGGTTTTGCAATGCTACTAACATTTTGGATATGCAGATGATTTGGGTCCTGGGACGTAGAAGAAGCATTATCTGGTCTCTTTGTCTTCCAAGATTTTGGTTCATGATTCATTGATGCAGGCCTCATATTAACTGCACCCAAGCTACCAATTTCTAATGGAGTTGTATGACCTTCAGCAGCAACTTTGTGTACCTAAGGGTAAAACAAGTTCACATTTATCAAACCGTTTAAATTTAAGAAATTCCTATATCAGGTCTCATACCTTTATGGTTTTTCCTTCATTGGTTCGGAGTTCAGAGGATACAGGGTAGGTTCTCAATACACTAGTAGTTTTTTCAACATCTACCACCTGACAAAATAGAAGCAGAATTAGCAAAAATTTCGCAATTTATTGAACTTAAAAACTATAATTTAACCAACAAACCTCAATATCACTCTCAGAATCATCATCAACCACAACAATTTCATCTTCATCACTAACAGATTTTGATTCACTGGGACTACTTGTACAGTGAAGAGTATTGTGTTCTTTGACCTGCTCAGAGTTGTTTGTACCTACAACACAACCTGAAGTTAAGACTTTGAAAAAGCATGAAATCTTATGCATTGAGTCTGAAAGTGGTGAGCTAGGGTAGCTTGAACCACACTTCATCATACCTTGGATGACAGTCTCAGGGCTTGGTTTTCTGCGTTTTCTATCTTGTTCAATTGAAACATCAACAGCTGTTCTTCGTCTGGAATAAATTTAAGAATAACACTTCTTTTAATCAGCTCATACTTGATAAACAACTAGTGAAACAATGTGAAATGCTTACTGAGAAGAACTGATAGAAGAGCTAACTGATGAAGTACTACTGGGAGTAGGAGATGAAGAGCGATGAGGTGAAGAGGGACAAGGAGAAAGGGTTGGAGGAGAAAGAGATGATGAAAGGGATGGAGGAGAAAGGGATGAAGAAAGGGATGGAGGAGGAAGGGATGGAGGAGATAGGGATGGAGGAGGGTAAGATAAAGAAAGGGATGAAGAAGGTGTAGGTGAGGGTGCAAGGGATGTACTTGACAGTCTTGAAGATCTTGTCTCAAAATAATGCTCCATTCTTCTGCCTTTTCCTGCAAACATCATTATGATTGTTATTGTACTATTTTCTAAGCATTTATTGTGGTGCAGATGTCAACTAAAAAATACCTTTGTTAAAAATTGTTGCACAAAATGAACAGCGCCAAGAGTTGTTTGATGCAGTCATTTTCAGGGCACTGCAAACAATATGAGTGCCCTGAGAACCGCATGAATTGCATCGAATTAATCTCCAACTGCCCCTACAATAAGGAAAGAAAATGGAATCAGCAAGAGAAGCGAGGAACTAAATAATATGCCTGCAGACTTAAAACCACACATACGTATTTTGTGTATAGCTTCTTCCATCAGGGCATTCACATTTTTCAGCATCACACACGCTGTGTGTATGATATAAGTCTTGAAAGGCCTGTGGCTCCCTCTCCCATGCAGCATCCCTGAAAAGAAAATATTAAATATAATTTAGTATGAAATTGAAAATTAACAACATACAAATGGGCACTAGCTCACTTACATTTCAGGAATGTGGATTCCAAAATGTTTCATTTCTGTATTAAATTTTTTATTGTTATTGCACATGGGGCACTTGAAAAAGTAACCCTGGGCCTGAGCCTGACGCTGTTGAACAAAAATACAAAATGAATGTGATTATATGTTTCAAAGGTTCATGTTAAGCCAGTAACGTCATAGCAAATCCAAAGTCAGGAACTTACTTGAACACATGCCCTATGAAACCACCGTTTTTGGCAGCATGGAGCCCAAAGAGTATCATTAGTGACCGTGTTTCCAACAGATTCATAACAAATTGGACAAGTATTTGAATCTTCATCCTCTTTAAGTAGTTTAATAAACTTTGCATGAACTTTTTGTTGGGGTCGATGAGAAGAACAAAACGATCTAGCTCAAAATGGGAATAAATTAGTACACGTCTTTGAATGTTTATTATGGCACAGTGCATTACTCTTACGTACAGAAATTGATCGAAGAATTGATGCATGGATCCCATTTTGCGTCCACAAGGAAGATGAAACTTTTTCTTGCAGGAAGTAACACAGCATCCAATAGTTGCTCCTTTTTGTTTGCAATAACTGCATGTCTGGAAACACAGTAAAATATATTTGAAACAACAATGAACATCTATTTACCACCTCATAAACATGGAAATGGAATGCTACAGGATAAAATGAAACATTTGCACTATCAAATAGTGGGAACATACCAAGCGTGAGCCTCTTCGAACTTCTTTAAGGATGTCAGGGGGCAAAAATCCTTCAATGCCTTCATGGTCCTCACCTCCCTGAACAAGGTTGCTGGACAAAAGCTGTAATACATAAAAAGAAATCAGCATATTCAAAAAAAGACTACCTAAATGTGCAAGGTGCATACTTGCTAAATCCATAAGTTTATAAAAGAAAAGGTGTAGTCAGGAAAATCTTACCAAGCAATAATAATGACTTGTTACATTTTCAAACTGGCGCAGTTCCCCTAGGGTGACAGGATCAATCAATCCACGAGCACACAGAATACATTTTGTTCCTGGAGTTATTTTATCTATTTTTTTCCATAACGGAGCTGGTGGATCTCCAGTTTTCTCTTCCGTGCCGCTAGCAGTAGTAGACATTTTCAACCTAGCAAGAACATAATGATTCACGATCCTAAATTGTTATTGCAAGTTTAAGTGTCCACGATTTAAGCCATTGCAATCACTCCAAATGACTAAAAATTAGAAACGTCCAAATCAAGAAATAACTAACTCTTGGTAAACAAATACAAGGTTATGAGGTTAAGTTCAATACCTTATGAGCACGAATGTTGAAAAAACTATGAAGTAAACACCTCAGAAGGATGAACATTACGTTCGACAAATATCTCAACCAGGTGAGGATCGAACTTTTTACATTCCAGATTGGTTCCCATTCCAAATACTATGTTTCTCAGGGGAACATTTTTACTAGAAGCCCGTCGAGTAAAAGGGCGGAAACGCCCATAAGAGCACGCTTTTGCTTTTTTCCGCTTCCTGAACGTCTTCTTGAATAATCACGTTAGCGCCTTTGAGGAGCTTTCAGATCTTGAAGCGCAACAGCCAACCGAGGACAAATCCGACAAATCCCTCCCAAATCAACCTAACCCCATCGCTCACACACACACGCACACAAACAATCACACACACTGCCGCCTTGCCGCCGCGCCGGCGCCAAACACCAACCGCCCGCCAGCTACCACCGCCACCACCACAACAACGACACACACACAAGTGCGCGCTGAAGATGGCTGAAGCAATTCTGTTTGCAACTTTGGAAGGAAATCTCCCTCTCGAAGAAGTATTGACATGGATTTCAGACGAAACTGTAAGCAAAAATCGTGGTTTTTGTTTATTATTACAACGTTAGTGTTGTCAAAGCTGTACGTGCATGTTTGCTTTGTAGTTTTGCAGCTGATGAGGTTATGCTGCCCAGTGTTTTCGTGACATGTTGAGTGTGTTGTTGACGTCTCGCACTGTTTTCAATGTTTCCTTTTGTAGATAGTACGGTGCATTTTCTCTACATAAATTTAAAATTATGTCGTCGATTTGAAATTTGTACATAGCCCTGTCACATACATCTACGTAATGTGATGAGGCCTCTTACCTTCACTTCCTGTATTTATTTATTTATTTTAATTATTTTTGTTCATACTGTAGTGCGGGCCATCACTTCAAGAAAATCTAACATGCAGTCGTGGGGATTTTGTCCTGTGCATTTTGAATTATCTTCGTGAGTCAACTGAAAGGTAAAGATTTTGTATTTAGTTGAGCTAAATGGGCTGCATCCATTAAGCGTATAAAACTTTATCAACTTATTTTTCAGAGCATGGCAACAATCAGCAACTTTTCAAAGTCCCATTAAATCTGTCAAAAATTCAACTAAAATTCACAATCTGAACAGACAAACTTCACCTCAGAAGAGTGTTGAAAAAAAGTTTGCCCGTCGAGTTGAACTTTTTCCAACAGGGGCTTCTTCATCTAAGCCCTTGGACCAAGACAGATATCTCTCCACAAGCAAAACAGAAGCTGACTTCAATAATGACAACTCATTTGCCAATCAGACCCGCTCACCCGTAGTGCATTCTCCAAGTCCATACAGAGAAGCACTTGGCAAGTATTCGGTTAACAGCAAAATGAAAGATGAAGAAAACCCATTTTTTTCTTCCGAAGTGAACTGCTTGGCCACATCATCACCTTTGTCTCTTAGTGTTACCTCTGAAGTTTCTTCTCAGCACACCCCCATCAATAGACGTGTCCAGAGTTTCAAATCAAATGAGAGATGCTCACCTCCAGTTGGTGTCAATTCACCAGATTCTGGCTTTAAGACTCCTACTCGTGGAAATGCCATGTGCTTGGGAGATTTCCTCATTAAGGGAGGAAAATCCCAACAGTCAAAGAAACGTTTTTCAACAAGTCCAACAAATAGTCCTGCTATATCTCAAAACAGTACACCTGTTGATCATCAAACTAGCCAGTCATACAAAAGGAAACACAAGCGCCGCATCAATCCAACCAAAGTGTCTCTAGAGAGCTCCTCCTTCTCTTCACAGAATGGTAATATCATTTTTTACAAGTCTACATCTAAAAGTTAATGTGTTATTTTTTTTCTAAGGTCTCTTTTTATTATTTCTGAGCATAGGTTTCCAAGAATCAGAGGCCTTTGGATCTGCAAATCGACCTATACCAGATTCATCTCCATTCAAAACTGTTAGTATGGAGCCAATAAAAGCACCTCTGAGTTTTACTGAAGAACGCAACCTTCTCAAGCAAGAGAGGCTCAAGCTACAAAATCAAGGGGATAACACAGTGTCTGAAGCTGCAGCAGTTCACTGTGCTATGACCACCAAATCAGCCCTGCCAAAAATGATTGTGGCTGATCCACTAAAAGTTACCAACCCTGAAAAATTATTGAAACTTAGTGAATTGTATGGCTGTGTCCTGAATGCAAATCTAGTTCCAAATCTCATGAGTGAGTTATATTTTCTGATTTCTCTGTTATTAATCCGAAGCGATTTAAGTGAAGAAGAAAATGAAGATGTTATTTCTAATTTGGAAGATAAATTGAAAAATACTTCTCTTGATGAATTAGAAGGAAAGGCTTGTGATGGAATTAAAGCTGAGTCAACTGTAGATTTGAGCCCAGTGAGGTCTAGGAAGCACTCTGTGAAGAAAGCGAGCCATCAACAATATTTTTATTCTGTCCACAATTGTGTTTTCTTTGCTACAAATGTACTTTCTAAGCAAGTTGATGTGCTGGGGAACTTTGATCGCATCACACTAAAGCTCTTATTGGATAGTGAGCGTATTGCTGTATTCGCTCCCAACCTAAAGGAATATTTGTTATCCTTGTATGCTAACAGTGTGTCCACCACAAAAGGTTCTCAAGGAATGGTTCCAAACAAAGTGATTGTTAGTGGTAATGTTTCATTTCAGTCTGACACAGACAACAGCTCCAATTTTCCAACAGCTCAGTGCTTCAGCAACTTTCGGAAGTAAGTGCTTTCTTGTTTTAAAAATTCATTGTTGTTGTAACATTTACATTTTAAAAAAATGTAAGCCTAATTTCATTTTTTTTTTCAACTCTCTGTAGACAGCGTGATGGTTTTTATGAAATTTTACGTATTTGGGAGGCAAATCATCAAAAACCAGGTTGGAACTTTGCTGTTACTCTTGGGAGCAGAGTCCGGAGCTTATTACATTTATGTAGTGATCCCATCAATCTTATGCATTTTGCAAGATTATTTCGTCTACAACTTCTGTCAATTGTCAGTGGAACATCTAACTGTTTAGTAAGCACCTTGATTATGACTATTTTAGTGCATATATCTTTTTTATTTCTCTTTTTGTTACTTTTCTGACATGTAATTCACCATTTTTTTTTTTTATTTTTTTTTAAATTTTAAGGATGATGAGCCTGAGGATCTTGAATTCCTTGAGGGACTTCGTGGTATTGATCCAGACAAACTTAATCGCTTAAAAGATCGCTTAGTGACACCGTACAAAGCTGGAGGACCAAGACCAGATCCATCATTTCCTGGTTCTCAGGAATTTTACCGCGATTTTATTTTGTCTGCCTGGCACTTATCCTTCTTACAACACCTTCAAGATAGTCTTATTTCTCATCTCCTGGAATTGGATCAGACATCATTTTTGGCCTCAGACACAGAAGACTCTGGTATTACATTCAATTCATTCTCATTTTTTCTGTCATTATGGCAAATATTTAGCTTGTTAGTACAGAATTTTTTTTTTTTCAGAATTTACAGTGGACAGCACAACACGACAGAATTATCTGTCTTGTGTGGTGATGATGCGCCTGCTCGCCAAATTTTTGGGACTTGTAGTATTTTTACCATATAACAGAACAGATACTAATTTGCCACATAATATTCGGGATACTGAAGTTTCTGTGAGATCAAAGGTACATATGTTCAAAGATTTTGTTTTATAGCTACATTTTTCTTGAAATCCTAAGAGAACTCTTACCACCCTGACCCTCGGTTTCTGATTCTACTTAGGTCATGCCCCCATTGGACATCTTACGATGTGTTGTTGAAGCCCACAAAAACCATCGTCTGATTGTAACTGTTCCATGGGTTGTCAAATTTTTAGGAATGATGGACTCTGTTTCCTCTGCACTACCTGTATACCAAACAGTTATCCAACTTTTACTGCGATTATATATGGATTTGAGACAAGGAACCAGTCCTAGCCTTTTTAGAAGGAGTTTGATGCTTCCTTCAAAGACAGTGTTACTGTTGCGCCTTTCTTTGGGATGGCTCTTTGAAGCATCATTCATTCAAGAGACATTTTTCTATTCGTGGTGTTTCAATTTGGATGAAACTCTGATGTGTATGTAAATTATGTATTTCCTTTATTGTATTGTGTACCCTCAATTTACATTGAACACACTATTTTTCCAGTATCTCTAGATGCCGGAGGTACTCCAAGCTTCGATGCTTCACTTCCTGCCTTGGATTCAAGTGATGGACTTTCTGTGACATCCAGCACTGCTCCACCTGTCGATGCATTGAATTTAGTTGATTGCGATGTTCTGTATGCTCTCTGTCCTTTTCTAATGGAATTGAGGATTTTATTGGCGTCAACTCCATCTGAATGTGCCCCTGGAGGATCTGTCAGACACATTACTCCAGTGTCAGCTGGATCTTCAATGCTACCCTTTGCATCATCTGTCAAGCAATTAGAGGTACAACTGCTGTTCAGAACTTATTATCTTTTCAAGTTACCCCAACCCTAATCCTTTTGCTGATCCATTTCACAGCTTAAGCTAGAAGACAATTTCTTTCATGGACTCCCTGCTTCAGTACTTAGAACTGTTGAGTTTGTTGTTGAAAGAGTAACCTCAGCTTGTGTGAAACACATTTGCAATGTCTGGCTTCCTACACTCAAACAACGAGGTGTTCTTCAGCTGCAAGAGAAAATTAAATCCTATCAGACAGAGATTGGTTTGGTAAAAGACCCATCAGTGATACAGAGTGAACTGAAAAAGGAAATAAATCTAATAGTAGATCAGGTGTCTGTTGGTTTAAAAGCCAAGTGTCGCACTGGTGTGCCAGAATTTTGCTTGGCAAAGTGCAAAGGTGCCTTATTTGCACTTCTCTCAGAAGAATCTTTAAGTGTTGCTGTTTGTGAAATGTGTGTTAAAATTGCATCTAGGATGAGTGAGGAGCGTGTTATTTCTTGGATGCAAAGCCATGCAACTCTTAGTAAGTGTGTTACCAGTACTGTACCTTCCTCTATTTATTAAATGAAGTGTGGGAACCTAACTGTTTCTCTTGTCACATCCAGCCATTTATAGTAAAGACCTGCAGTCTGAAACAGAGAAAGCTATTAAAAATCGAGAGCGGTGTGAAGTTTCTACAAGCACGGCCAAAACATCTCATATAGCTCCAGGAGCCAGTGCTTCATGGAAGCATGATGACTCTGCACCTAGCCCATTTGCTGTTCTTCAGAGCCTAAAGGTTGGCAGGTTGACATTTCTTTCTTTTCTTTCCACTTTCTTTTCAGTTCAGTACTCTCACCTCTTATTGCAGGTTATGGTGTGTGACATATTGAATGGACAAGACATCTCCAGAGACATTGTGGATGATATCCTGAACCAGATGGAACAGTGTGTGACCAAAAGACAAGATGTTGTGCCAGCTGCTGAAAGAATACTTGCCCTTCTTTCAGTTGATTTAATTATTTCACTTGGTAAGTTCTTTCTCATAAATAAGTAAGCTTTGTGTCATAAAACTTCAAGATTCAGGGAATCTTATCTGATCCTTTTTACCTATTCCCCCATTCTTTTTAGTCTGTCACAATCCTCGCATAGTGGATTCCCATCTTTTGTCGCGTATGGTCAGCTTATGGAAGCTGGATGCACTAAGACCGGTTGAAGATGGGCTTGCACGCTTGGTGTGCCCTCGAAACATGCTCTTGCTGGCGCAATCAACTCATCAGACTCGCCTTGTATGGGAAAAACTGGCGGATGTTGTAGCTGCTGTCTTAAAAGCAAAATTGGTCACACCTGAGTTACTTGAAAATCAGTGTCTTGCAATTATGCAACAAGAGTGGCCTCAGGTATGTTTTAACACTATCAACTGATGTGGTCATTTTTTTTATATCTCTGATTACTGTTCTGATAATAGACCATCTTCCTGATCCTTGGTTTCAGAACATACTCCGCTGCTTTGCCATGTGTATGAATGAGGTTGTTCGTCAGTACCAGAAACAAAAAGATGTCGATTATAAGTTTGTCCTCCTTTTAGAATGGCTTGCTGAAACAATGGCTCAGATTGATTACTTTCCTCACTTATAAGCAAGCCTAGAGAAGCATGACATGCCACATTTCTTGGTGCACTTGTTATCCAGTCTGTGATTTTGTAATTTTATACTTCTCTGTGTACATATGTTATTTATGACTTTATGAATGTCTCATAGTTTTATTACTGCAATATTTTATGTGTCAAATTGGTTGTTATTGTACGTAACTTGAAATGCATGTATTTATGTTATCAAAAATAACATCTGGTTCAGTAATTTTATGTCATTTTAGAATAATTTTGACAATTTTTATGTATTTTTATTATTGTTTTAGAAATTTTCACTGAAATCTTGATAGTATGTACATGAAAAGTTGTATGCAAATTCTTATTTCTATTGAAATAAAAGCAATTTTTCACTGAAATCTTGACAGCATGTGCATGAAACATAGTATGCAAAGTCTTATCTTATCTCTATTGAAATAAGAGCATACACTATCTGACAATGTCTTTGGTGCAGAGCTTGTTTCAACAGTCAAAGTATCTAAATGTTACATGAGCACTGTTCAAGTGAAAGGGAAGAACATGTTCACATTTTAGCTGGGAACAAACAGTTGTGAGACAGTAGTCAAATAATTACCTGACAAGTGTATTTATCACAACTTTTTGGTTGCCAAACCACAAAACCTCTCAATGCAAAATACTACAGATTCTCAGTAACTCTAGCTCTTGGGTCACAAGGACTTACACAAAATGAAAGAGCCAGGTCTGATAAAATTCATATGGCAAGGGCCCTATAAATTCCCCACAAAAAATTATCACAAAGAAAGAAATGTTAAGTAAAAATGAAATAACCCAGGTAGTGAAAGACACAATCACATACAGAACGAAAAACAACAGACTTATAAGAAATATAAACCTCACCAAAAAAATTATATTTTTAAGAATACCCAGCGTCTGTTACATATTAACAAAATTGTGATAATTGCCTCAAACTAGAGATGCAGACTTCACAAATAATGATAATTAAAACAGTCTTGGACTATTTTTTTTCCCCAATTTCTTTTGCATTATTATGCTAGCACAGGGTACAGTATCACATGTTTGCTTTGAGAGAAAACCTTCCACAGTCCGTAGCTTAATCTTTGGGATACAAGTTCTTGAGCCAATCCTGAGCTATATACTGACCACCATCATAGACAGCAAAATAATTTTCTAACATTGCGTGTTGTACCTAGAAAGACACAATGAATTAATAATTTCCTTAAATCACAGGGGTAAGTATCACAGTGGCTTATAAATATTTAAGCCTCACCTCTGTATTTGGCATAAGCTCCAATTCTTGTTGAACAACATAAGTAGCTTCAGGTGACATTGTTGATGTCGATATTGGGTCTCTCTCATCAACTAACACAGCGTAGTGTGGCCAGCTGCGAAGTGCCTTTAAATTGAAATGAAACAATTATGAAACAATTCTTTTGTTTCAATTGCTTTTATAATTGAAGGAAACAAATCTGTAGGCTCACCTGCAGGTCCCCATATTCACGCACAAGCCAGGTTTCTGAAGCCTGTCAAAAATTATTAATAAAATTAATGATAATCTAATAATGAAATACTGTTTGATAAAGGTCTCAGAAGCATCATCAACTTACTCTAGCTTTCAAATCCCAACCAATAATGACCCCTGTATATCCTTCTGATCGATGCTTTACAACCTGGCCCACACGAAATTGGATGTGTGATGGCCGCTTCCATCTTACACTTAAGGAACTAGAAAAATAACCACGTTCCTGTCTAAAGCGTAATACTTCATAAGCAGGGGACTCATTTTCCCCTATAGTTCCATAAAATGTGTTAAGGGATGAATCTGGTAGAACTCCTGCAGAAAATGAAAGAAAAAGGGTCAGTAAAAATGAGCTGACTTCTGAAAATATTAAACTAGAGCAAGGCTATATAAATAACCTCTTAAAAGAAACTGCACAGAATCAAATGCAGCTTTTGCCCAAGACTCAGAGGATAGCCAGTTATCTCTCAAATATTGAAAATCTGTAGCCATAATCCTTCCTAGCGTTGACGACTCTTCTAGTTCCATGTTTTGGGACAGCAAGTACTGCAGCGGGACGCATGCCAGTAGCAGAGCGACCTGCACTGCCTCGCGATATGTAAGGGGCATAACTGCATTCACTCAATCCATGTCATCACCAAAGTTGACTAATACTATCGTAGGTTAGGAGGCCCGCCACATAGCCTCCCTTTAGTCGATTGACTTGGCAGAGCGTTTAAAGCACACAAAAACACAGATCAATAAGAGAGTCAGGTCAAAAATGAATAGATGGGTAGAAAAGTAGGTTGAGATCTTGTTGGTTTACGAAATAACTCAGAAATTATTGGGCCTTTGACTTTTCTGATGGGGGGCTTGCAAAATCACAACAACGTCTGCTACTAGTCTGCTAGCAGCCAAGAAATGCATTGCCACTCGTAGTATCAAAACAAAAGCAAAAATATCTGTTTGACACAATAGTTCTGAGAGAAGTATTTATCAAAAGTTACTCCAAAAGAACGAAATATTTTTAAGGGCACCGATCACTCTCCAGCATAAACTGTAAACTTACGAATGCAAGAACGACGATTTTTCATGCAGGTGGTGGTTAAAGTGGGGAGTTGAGGCGCGGACCATACAAAAGTAAAACTTTCAAACTCGACTCATAACGCCATTTCTCAACGCTCGGTTATATCCTCATAATTCTAGGAGATACACAGTAGGGCAGGCAATCGAAATAAAAATACTCACAATGCTATAGAAAATAATCCCCAAAATAACAGGTCTTTTGCAAAGAGAAACGGGGTTTGTGAAACTCCCATGAATGCGAGTCCAGTAGCCAGCCCGCCCAGGTAAAAGCAAAACAAAACGAACCGCGAGTCAACTGTTTCAGCGCAAATATCTCGCTGGTCCTATTAAGCGGGGAAGGCCCCATGCGAGGCCCCATGTCGGCCGCGTGCTTGCAGGGAAGTGCGTCGCAGTAGTGCCAACCCCGCGGGGCACGGCGTGGCACGCCACCCCACGCCGCGCCACGGGGACCGACGGGGACGGGGGGATCTAGGGGGATCACTGGATCACTGCGGCCAGCCTGGTGTTGATGGACCCTTCCGCCGCGCGCTGCGCGCTGTGCGGTGCCCCTAGCCGCTAGGCCCCTGCCCTAGGCCCCTAGGCCCCTAGCCCGCCTCAATTGAGCAATTGTGGCGGTGTCGCCGGCCGGCTCGGTGTCCGCTGGTGTCCACCAGCCGGCCCGCCCCTGGACCCCCTGGACCCCGTGGACTCCCTGGAAGGATGGCGAACCCGTGCGGGGCTCCTGGAAACGCGGCCCCGCCTCAGCACACAAGTTTACTGGAGCATAATCAGTGCACTGGGATGAAGCAGCCGGCGGCGGCAGCGAAGGCCCGCCGCGGCTGCACTGCAGATTGATTCCGAGAGTCGTTTTCGCTGCTCCGTCTCGTCCCCCATGAGTGCGAGAGAGACAGAGCGACCAAAACGACTCTTGGAATCAGTCTAGTGGGAGAGGGGGCGGGGACGCGGCGAGTCGAACAATTCGGCGGAGAGCGGAAGGGTCCTGTGCAAGTGATGAGCTCCTTGACGTCCTTGACGTGCAGTGGCGGCGACAACACGACAACGGCCAACGGAAGGGGCGGGCAGGGCAGAGTGTCCGTCTCTCCGAGGAGTCCTCGACCGTCCTCGGCGCGACGGGTTCGACCCCCGACTCCTCCCTCCTCCGCCCCCGCCCGCCGTCTTTCCCGCCTAAAGATTCGACGAGACGTCGCTCGCCAACCAGTTAATCATGGCCCACTTGGAGGCGGCAGCGAGGCGGGCGAGGCGAGCGAGACGGGACGGGCAGCGAGGGGCTGGCTGCACCGCACTGCATGGTCCTCTCGGACATCATTACGAGTGGCGTGGCGGGCGAGACGACGCGCTGCCCCGCGGGATGGATGCATCCTTCATCCTTCCGCCGGCAAATGCGTGCACCAAGTTTCACATCTCGAGCGCTGAAAAAAAAAACAGCAACCTTTTACTTTTTCCCACTAGTTCCATACGAATGAGAAAAGGTGGCCGCGAGAATGGCGGCAGAAAAATGGGGCGGCATGCGTGCGTGGGTGGCGACATGGTGGCGGCGGGGTGCGCGTGACGGTTCGTAGTTGAAGGGGTGTGGGTGCGAGGTGTGGGGCAGACATCAGACGCGTGTGTACGAACCCCGCCGAGTCAGAGGGGCTGGGGAGTGAAGCCCGCCAACACGCACTTTCTCAGGCGTTCCACAAAAAAGCGCATACTTGTTCGGAGAGAAATTCGCCGCCATTCCTCTGACGTTCAGCGTCCCTCACTGTCAGCGGCGTTCGACCTTGCGTTCGACAGTGCTATTTGGACCTGCCGCCGAATGCAGTGGCGGGTTGAATAAAGAATTGCTTTCGCACACTTCTGTGGATGTTTTCTCTTTTGGAAAAGGATGTTCGGGCGTTCGCAACGGCGGCGAAGTGGGCTGTCATCGGAAGGGAAGTCCCTGTCCGTGGCGCGGCGGGCACCAGGCCGTCCAGGCCGGCCGTCGCCGTGGCTCCGAATCCAGTGGGGAGGGCGGCATGGCGCGGGGTGGCGCGGGGCGGTGCGGGGTGGTGCGGGGCCTCGACGCGGGCCGCGTGGTGCGTGGAGCGGCAGAGTCTCGCACCGCCCGCACCGCGCAGCACAGACACAGAGGCGGCCGCGGTGTCACTGATCGGACGGCGCCGCTTGCACCGCTTGGCCGCTTGGCCGCGCGACGGCGGCGACCTGCGTGCAGCGAGTACCGCGCCGTGCTGCGCCGTGCCCCGCACTGTCATGACACCGACACCGGGTGCACCAGCCCGCCAACACCACCAGCCCGGCACCGCGGGACCTGCAGCGGGACACTCTTCGCCTGCTTCGTGGGCTTAGAGGCTCCCGCGCGGCCCGCCGCTGCGCGCGCTGCGCCCGGGATCACGACGACCCGCGGACGACGGCGTCCTCACCCCCAGGAAGAGGAAGCCCGCCGGCCGCAGCACCGCGAGGGTGAGTGTTGCGCCATGTGCGACGAAGCGGTATTCGGCGAAATCAGGACACTGAAGTCGCGGCTGTCGGCTTGACGGCCTCCTGTCGGTGAGCGAGCGCGGCAAGCCGCGGCCCCCAGCCCGGCCGGCGGGGAGCTCAATGGATTGTTAAATCGATGGCCTCCCCGTGGCGCGGCAAGCGCAGCGCGCACCGCGTCCGCCCCAGTGTGCACCGGTGCAGTGCGGCGTCGAAGTTGAAGTAACACATGAAGTCAGAGAGAAATGAAACAATTTGGCGATGTGCAGTCCGGTTCTAATTGGTGGCGGTGCGGAAGCATGGCGGAAGCACGACCCGGTGCACACGGCGACGCGGCGCGACGCGGCGCCGCTGCGGAGGGAGGGCACAGCGGCACGGTCCATGACGCACTATCACGCACCGGCGGCGTGGGACACTCAGCATCCGAGTTGTTTCACCGAGCCAGGGGTCTTTTGCCCTTTGCGAACCGTGCCCTCGAAGCTCGGCCAGTGGTCGAAGCCCATTAGTTTCGTCACTTTATTTTTCCGTGTTTTCTGGCTTCTGCTGTTGACTTTACTCCGAGGCGCTCGCACTCGCGCTCCTGTGCTATTTCTATCTCCAGGCGGCCAGTTTGTTGGACTCTGGCAATCATAGGAATCATAGGCACCCCTCCCGTGCGACGGCGATGACACACATCCTGGGTGGGGCAGAGGGAAGGGCAGGCAAAGCCTGGTTGATATGGAGCTGCCCCTCCCCCTTCCCCTCCGCGTCCTTCCTGCCCAATCCCTTCCTCCATGGCAGGAGAGCAACGGCCGGCATGTCGCGAAGCCCGAACGAGCGGCCAACGAGGCCCCGCTCTCACATCGCCGTCCTGGCCGTCATCGCCGTCCTCGCCGTCCTGGCCGTCGAGTGCGGCGGCCGACGGCGGCGTGGCGTGTTAGGCCGTCTGCGCGGCGTGCGTGCGCATGGCCATCAAGGGGCGCACGGACGCTCGCCGGGATGATGAGATGCACGATGCTGGTCTTGATGGCGGGGCGGGGGCGGGGGTCTGCACGCCGTGCACGGTCGTTGACACCACAGGCGACGCGCTGGCCGCGGTGGAGGCTGGGCCGCTGGGCCGCGCGGCATGCGGCGACGTGTCACCAGGTGGGGGCGGTGGCCCTGGGGCTGCGGGGGCTGTTGAGGGGGCTGGCCAGGGCGCAGCGACTCAGCAGACACGACGCCAGTTCGACCCCCGCCATCTCCCCGACGCCACCCTGCTCGTCATCGGCCAGCGCCGCCGCCCCCATGGCCGCCCCCATGGCCTCCGCCTTGCCGTCGGCTGCCGTAAGGAGCTCCTCGCCGCCGCCTTGGAGCCCGCCGAGGCCTTCGTGGCTGCACTGCAACAGGCGTGGCAGTTTAGCCGCACTCGAAAACTAGTAAGAAGGAAAAAGAGGGGCCGGGCGGGTTTGAACCTGGGCCCCGGCGGGAGCGGTCCTCCGCGCGGCCCGCATCCTGCTGCTGGATCCGGCGTCGCCGCCGCTGCCCCCGCCGGAGCCGCCGCGACCCCTGGTCCTGGCGGACGCGCCCGCCTGGCCCCCCAGGCCGGCCTCGTCCGCGGCGTCCGTGTCCGTCGTCGTGAGCACGAAGCGGATGCGACGCCGGGCTGGCCGCGGAACGGGAGGCGGCGGTGGCAGGGCGGGGTCGCGCTGGGGGTGCTGCGTGGAGCTGCTCTCCTCAGACACCGTGGAGGTCTTCTTGAGGCTGGATCGGAGCTGCTCGGAACATCCAGCTACAGACGCGTGCTGCGGAAAGGAGCGGTCAGATTGCCGGTGTAGCGGGTGGACCTCGCGAGGCACGGGGTCTAGCGCCTCGCGCACCTTGGCGGCCTGCTGCAGCGACAAGCTCGACAGCGGGCCGAACACCCTTCCGCGCTGAGGCGAGTGCTCGGGGGTGGGCGACCAGGGCCGCGAGGGTCTAGATGCACTTGATGTACTGGGCGCCGAGCCGGCCGGGCCGTCCGGAGGGGCTGCCTCCGCCACCCTACGGGATGCGAGAATGCGAGACGGCATTCCAAATGATTTGTGTGGATTGGCTTCCACTGTCCACCCTCAGGCTTCTCTCCACCTGCTCGGCCGGTTTGTCCTGGCGGGGCTGCGCGGTCTGCGGGAGCGTCCCCGACGTCGCGGTTCGCCCGAGGAGGATTGGGGACGGCTGGGGGATGGCGACGCCGAGGACTCCCTGCTCGCACCGCCCGCGTCGGGTGACCGCGGCGAGCGCCGCGACCGGGACCGCGTCGTCGCCTTCTCCTTCTCGGCGGCGTCCTGGGAGGCGCGGGGCCCCGGCGTGGCGCGCCTCCCGCGGACTTTGGACCCTTTCGACGGCCCCACCATGTCCTGCGCAGTACTGCAGCTTTAGCAGTGGTGGAGGTTCTTCGACGACACAGGTGCCAACTGCAACTCCCAGAGCCCGGCACTTACAATCTCGCTCGCAGATGGAGATACCTCAGGCAGCGCACTGATGTCCGGTGGAGTGCAGCGGTGGCAATTTTGCGTTTAGAAGCGTTTTTCGGAGGTTTGCAACGCTCGAAGCCATGGACACGCGAACAACTCCTCTCGCATTGTCGCCAACTGCACCACCGCACGCCGCCATGCTCCGACTCGATGAATCGAACGGGGAGATTTTGTTTGGATTGGTACCCCTGCAGCGATTTTGAATTTGGTCGCAGGTGTTCCGCGATGGCTGTGATAGCCAGGATGGCCGCCCCCAGGATGCCCCTGATCGGCGCGCTCGCCGCGCCCCTGCTCCTGGCGCTGCTGCTGAGGCCCGCCCCCTGCCACGCGGTGCCCCTCGAGGAGAGCAACGACACGGGCTACGGGCCGTGCTGGAAGCAGGAGACGTGAGTGGAGTGTCAGGCAGCGCCCACAACCATTCTGAGTGCAACCTTTCCATTTCGCTCACGCGTTTTCATTGACAGGTACAACGCGACGGTGGAGATGATGGTGACCGTGCAGGTCAACAAGACCAGGTACGACTGGTGCCTGGGGGGCTTCATGCGCTGCCAGGTGTACAAGATGGAGAACGTGGACCGGCTGCAGAATGTGGTGAGCACTGCGTCTTTTCGCACTGTCCCGCCGGCACGGCAGCGATTCTTTACTGTCTTCACCACACGCCCTAATCACCCTTCGTCCGTTGCCGGTGTTGCAGACCCAGGTCCACACGCGCAACGTAGAAACTTGCTGCCCCGGCACCGAGCCCACCAGGCCGGCAGTGCCCGGCAAGAACGTGTCGCTGCACTGCGTGCCCATCCGGCCGCCGTCCACCAGCACGACCACCACCACCGTGGCGGCCACCCTGCCCACCACGACCACCACGACCACCACGCAGCGGCCCACGACCAGGCCGACGATACCTCCGCCCACCAGGCCCAGGCCCACCACCGCCAGGACCACGCCGTCGACCACCACGACGACGACAACGACCACCACAACCACTGAGGCGCCTACCGTTCGAGCGACGTTTACGCAGCCTCGTGAAAGTGAGTCTTCCACAGCTTAGCAGAAAGTGCCTTCATGAAAATTTGCACCGCTCTCCCTCGCCGACCTCCATGTTCCTGTTCCAGCTTGCCGGCTAGGGCTTTGGGGCAGAGGCTGCCCGAACGAGTGCAACTGCGGCGCGGGCTGGCCGTGCGACCAAGACACGGGCGCGTGCCCGCCCGGCGCCCCCGGCCCCACCTACCCCTCCTCTCCTCCCACCACCCCTTACACCACGCCAACCACGCCGCGCGACGCCACCGTAAGTACCGCCCCTCCGGCCCCGACCCAACCACCCCAACGTGCGACCGTGGCCGTGAAAACAGCAGACACTAGCGCCCCTCCTCGACCCGCCTCCCGGACCACCCCCCGGACCACCCCCGAGGAAGCGGCGGCCTCCACGCCGTACCCTTACTCCCACGCGTACTCGCGGCCAGCCATGGGCATGACCAAGGCGACCACCACGGCGCACGTGCACTTCGAGGAGTCCAACAAGGTGCCCGACCAGGACAAGAACGCCGCCAAGAAGATGGACATGGCTCTGGACAAGAGCGTCGTCGTGGAGGACGTGGCCACCAGGACGTTCAAAGAGGGTGTGCATAATGCACCCTGGCCCAAGGCCACGTTCACAGCCACCCCGCCGCACAACGTCATCGAGGGCGGCAGTCCGCCACCATCCCCAGCCACCACGACACACGCGGCGCCGTTCAGGCCAAGCCAGCCGAGCAGCACGACGGAGGTCGCTTACGAGTTGAGGCCAGACGTGTTCTCGCACGGCACCGAGCCCAGCGCGCGGCTCAGGGAGGCGCACGGCTTCACGCCGGTCGTCGTCTCGGTCCCGGACTTCGCGGACGTGACGGACGCAAGCGACGCGCCACCGACGACGCTGCCCTCGTGGCGGTTCGTGGACAAGCGGCTGACGACCACGCGAGAACCGCTACCCCCGACGCCGCCTCCAACCCTACCTCCAACGCAAGCCAAAACGCAGCGTCCCTCACCACCTCCGACGCAGCCCCCGACGCTTCCTCCCACCCAACCCCCGACGTTACCCCCCTCTCCACCCACGCAACGCATAACGCACCCACCAACGCTTCCCCCGACCCAACCCCCGACCCAACCCTCGACCCGTCCTGCCATTCCACCCACAACGCCAGCTACTACCCAACAACCTCCTCGACCCCCGACGCAGCCCCCAACGCAGCCACCTACAAGGCGCTCGACACAGCCACCAACGCAACCACCTACTCGGCCTCCAGTACCCCCAATACAACTAAAGGCGCTTCCTTCGACTGAGCCTCCTGCGCAACCCCGTCCTGTACCGTCCACGCAACCAGCAACGCAGGTTCCGACATTACCACCACAAACGCAACCGCCAACTCCTCCGCCTACACAGCCCTCGACACCAATCCGCACACCACCACCAACACAGCCCCAAACCACATCGCCCACTCCACTACTCACACATCCGACCACGCAAGTTCCCACAGAACGCACCATGCCCCCTACAACACAGCCTCCTACTCCTCCTCCCACGGAACCTCCTACGCCGCCCCCTACACAGCCCCCCACGGTACCTCCTGCACAACGCCCTACACCACCTCCCACAACACCACCGACTCATCTCCGCACGGCACCTCCGACGGCACCTCCGACGCCAGCTCCAACTGAACCCGCAACTCAACAAAGTACACAACCGCCCACGCGAGCCTCGACGCAATCTCCCACCCAACCCCCGACATTGCGACATACGCCTACGCAACCGCCGACAGAACCGCCGACTGAAAGGCCTACTCAACCACCCGCCACAAAAGCCCCTACCGAATCGCCGACACAACGACGCACTCAACCTACTCAACCACCGACGCAGCCAACGACGCAAACAACTACTCAACCCACGACAACACGACGAACTCAACCACCCACACAACCTCCCACTCAACCACCCACTCAACCACCCACTCAACCACCCACTCAACCACCCACTCAACCACCACTACCCAACCCCCCACTCAACCACCCACTCAACCGCCTACCCAACCCCCCACTCAACCTCCCACTCAACCTCCCACTCAACCTCCCACTAAACCCCCCACTCAACCGCCCACTCAACCACCAACTCGACCCCCCACGCAACCTCCCACGCCACCCCCGACGCAGCTGAGGACAGCGCCCCCGACCCGACCGGCGACGCGGCCCACGACTCGACCCACTCCGAGGCCCACCGCCAGGCCGACGACGCGCGCCCCGCGGCCAACGCAGCCGCCAGCGAGAACGCCGCCGAGCGTGCTGCGGACGCACGAGAGCAGCCGGAACATCGGCACCAGGAGAAGAAAGCCCGCCGAGGACTACTATGACGACGACGACGAGGACGACGAAGACGACGAGGGGGACGATGATGACGACGAGGACGACGACGAGGACGACGAGGACGACAGTGGGGAGGGTGACTACTAGGAGGAAGACTGTCCGTGATGTGAATGCTAGTCCAGCCGCCGGGGCGGCGACGCGAAGTGAAGTGAAAGACGCTCTGCTCAGTGCCGCTCCGCGCTCGCTGCCGCCCGCGACGGCCACCGTTCGTACCTTGCTGTGTTCTTATCGTTACCCAGGGACCCTGGAACAGCCAGACCCTTCCCAAAAACCTGTGTACAGTACATTCATCCATTAATTTGTTGTTAAGCCATTATTTAATGTGAGGTTGTAATACTTTTTTCACGCGAAAAATAAACAGTGGAAACGTATAGTGACTGTCTGCTCGTGTGGCTGCTGCAGACCTTACCAAACCCAACGCCCATGTCTGGAGGCCGCGCGCCGCCCTCGCCTCCCCCACCCATGCATCGCCACTCATGCACCCCGACAATGTTGATTCATTATGCTGTTTTCATGTGCGCTTAGGAACCGAAACTCGCGCCGCCGGGGCGGCGGCGGCAGGGCAGCTTCGCGGGAAAGTTCCGGCGGGCCTGCCGCCGCACTGCCGCGCCGCAATGTTTTCATTCTCTCTAAGTTTCAAGACACGTGGCGTTGGGGTTGGTTGTGGTCAGTGTTCCCTCTCCCTCCTCGACTCACTCGGAACAGGAAACACCACAGAACAAAACACACTCACGCTTTCAAAAAGCTAGTCCAAACTAAAAGTGGCCGCCGTGGAGAGGTAAGCACCGCCAACCGCAGAGCTGCGGAGTGACTCGGGCCATGTTGTTGTTGTTTTTGTCTTTGTTTAGTGAAGCGGCAGGGAGTGAGGCTGTGTGGCGTTGCAGGTGGCGGTGGTGGCCGGCCCAGGGGCGGGCCCCGGCGGGGGGATGCGGGAGGCTGACGACGTGCCGCTGCACATCGCGCTGGCCCTGCTGTGCGTCGTGCTGCTCACCATCGCCGCGGCCGCCGTCAACCGCCGCCGCATCGCCAAGTTCATGAACTCCGGCGACGACGGCAAGTAGCTTCTGGTGGCGTTCGTGTCCGCCGGGCCGATTCCGAGCACTGCTTTTGTCACTGTCTTTCTCGCTCTGGCATCCTTGCGGACCACGCCACGAGTGCGAGAGGGACAGAGCGACGTGAGCAGGGCTCGGCGTCAGCCTGCTGAGAATGCCGTGTCTGCAGGCTGGGACTCGGACAACGCGGTGCGCTGCACGGTGACCGGCGAGGACGCGAGGGCGATGGGAGCCACGCCTCTGGGTGAGTAGGCCAGGCCCGGTCCGTGGCCGCGCGCGCACGGCCTACACGGACAGGTTTGTTTAATTTGAAAAGTGTGGGCAGCAGGTTTGATGTGGGGCGAGTACGACACGCCGCCGTCCCCGGTGGCGGTGGGCACGGTCGGCGCGGAGGTGCGGGACCCCCTGGCCGAGCAGCTGGCGGCGCAGAGCGGCGACGCCGAGCACATCTACCAGGAGATCCGGCCGCACAGCCACCAGAACGGCGGCCCCGTCGGCCCCGTGTCCATGCGGGGGCTGCGCACGTCGTCCGACGCCTTCCAGTGACCGCGGCCAGGCCCGGCCCCGCCCGGCCCCACCCGGCCCGCGGACGCGCAGTCCAAGTCCAAGCCAAAGACGCTGACTGATAACCAAGACTACGATGCCTTTGTGTTCAAGTGCCATGGGATCACCACCACGTCATGAGACTTTTACCGGCGCGGTGGTGCAACACACGTATACGGATTGTGGTGCAAAAGTACTATCGATGGCAAAAAAGCGGCTGACTCCCGCGTTGAGCAGCGACGATTTACTTGTGTTGTTTTTTTTGCCGTTGGTAGTACTTTCTTAAAGATTAGAGCGTGCATCATCACTGCCAAAGACTCTACCGCGCGTCACTGCCATGCGACTAACGGTTTTTAGGAAGTAAGCCTCACCACCTAATCTAGACTTTAAGACGTCTCACCGCCATTTTTGTACATAAAATGTCTATTTAGAATACAATAAACTTTTAAAACGGAAGTGCTGCTGCTCCTTGTTTCATCGCCAACCTCGGCCGCCCCGCACTCCATAAATAAACTCACTCAGGTCACTTCAGGGTTGATTTTTATTGCAAAAAGAAAAGGGAAAGTGGAACCGCGTGCCGCCATCATCGCGGTCCTCATCCTCAGCCTCACCGCGGGGCACTCCAGCAACTCCTCGGGCACTCCAGCCACGCCGCGGACACAGCGCGCTCCTCGGCGCCTAGCGCCTCCTGCGGCTGCGGGAGCGGCTGCGGCGGCGACTCCTGCTGCGGCGGCGACGCATGCGCCTGCGGCGACGCCGTCCTCGCCGCGCCTCCGTCATGTCGCTGCCGGACGTCACCATGAGTACCGAGTCGAGAGTCGTTGTCGCGCTCATGAGGCTCTCCGTAAGATTGCGAGAGAGACAGAGCGACTGAATCGCGCGGCAGAGTCGGCGGCTCGGCAACCCCTACCGTACCTGCTCTGCTTGATCCGGTCCAGCTCCTCGCGGGACTTGATGGCCTGCGCGATGTAGGGCTGCCGCTCCTCCATGGACATGACCCTCCAGCGCGCGCCCAGCTCGCGGGCCAGCTCGGAGGCCGGCCGCCCGGCGCCGGAACCCGCGCCCATGCGCGCGCGCTCCGACTTGACGAAGTTCATGTAGGGGTTCACGCTGCCGTACTTGCTGGTCCTGTTGCAGGACAACGGGGAGGTGTTCTAGTGCGGGCAGGGTAATCAACGTTCAGTCGGTTTTGAATCAAGTGAAACAACCCAAGACGAGTAAAGTCCTCGACGGCTACCCCTCTCTGCTGGGAATACTTTGAATGCTGGAGGCTTTGACGCGGCTGCTTTTCCACTGAGCTACGAGAAAGGCGGCCCGAGGGGCGAGGCGGGGCGAGGACACACCTGGCCTTGCGGCGCGCGGGGGACGGCGAGGCGGCCGCGCTGCTGGAGCGGCTGGAGGGCGAGGGCGAGCAGCTGCCCATCTCCTGGGGCTGGCTCAGGCTGCGGCTCCTGCTGCGACTGCGGCGCCTGCTGCGACTGCGACGCCTGCGGCTGCGGCTGCGGCGCCGGCGTCGCCTGCGCCTGGCCTCCATGATGCCGGGCGTGGCCGCGGCGGCCTGCGCGGCCTTGCGGCGGGGCGGCATCGCCGAGGGTGGCGGGGTGCTGGGGGTGCTGGGGGTGTTGGGGGAGCTGGGGCGGCCCGACTGTCCCGGGTGAGGCTGAGGCGGTGAGTGAGGCCGGCCGGCCGGTCACTTGGAGACACGCTTACAATGGCACTGTGGCCGCGGGGCTCGGCGGGGCCCAGCGGGGACCGCGCCAACAATACCGAGCCCTGTCCCAGCCGACACCGGCGCCCCGGTGGTGCAGCTCTCTCCGTGCTCTCTCTCTCGGTCTGTCTTTGCCGCCACGCACAGTGTAATGCAGCTTCCCCTCCCCTCACACACACATACACACGCGCGCGACTGCTGGAGCGTTTGATGCAGGCGCTGACTGGCGGCTTATCGCTATTCGCCCACTCCCACTATACTCGCCCACAAGGCCGCCAATATGGCCCAGCACACACGCACAAGCGCCAAATATTAACTATCCGAATTTTAAATTGGTGTTGGCTAGACTGAAGTGCGTGCGGTGTGACATCACCGCGACGACTCCAGGCTCGGCGGGCTGACCTCATGCCTCCGTTGCGGGGGAATGACAGCGTGTTTTCCACTGGCGTCGTGACCCGCTGACCTCGGCCTCCAAGAGCTGGCGTCGTATCGCTCATGGAAGCCGAAGCAGCCGGGCGATTCCGAAGGATCGCTTCGTCGCTCTGTCTCTCTCGCACCGCTACGCGACGCTCCATGAGTGCGACAGAGATAGAGCAATGAATCGGTCGTCCGGAATCGCTCGCCAGCCAGCGAGCAGCAGAATCCCCCCGCCTCCTCGCCCCCGCGGCCCAGAAGAGTCGCGATAGCCAGCCACCCGCGCCATGGATCCTGGACCCGCGGTGCCCGAGTACCGCCACCGCCTCCAGACAGGACACTCGCTGCCGACATGTCCTGGCATTCGCATCCCGTCGGGGCCGCCTTGGGGGCGGCGCTCCTGGTGGCGGCGGCGGGGGCGGCGGGGATCTACCCCACGCTGCCGCCCCCCATCGGCGCGATCCGCCACGACGCCAACCTGCCGCCCGGCATCTGCATCACGCTGGAGAAGTACGGCACGACGCTCGCGCGCTACCCCACTTGAATTTTTATTTTGTCTGTGCTAAAGTCCTTATTGAATGACGGCAGGAACCCGAACGCGACGGGCAACGGTACGACGGCGGCCCGGCTCGCGGCCAACGTGACGGCGGCCCTCAACGCCTCCAGCCTCGCGCGCGCCGCGCTGGCCAGCAACAAGGTGGGTGCGGGGAGTGCTCGCGGATGCTGTCGAGGGACTCAGATAACCTGATGTTACCCTTGCAGACCGGCGGCGCGCAGGGGGGCGCGTTGCTGGACCTGGTGGAGGTGCGGCGGTGCTGCGAGGGCTACGCCAAGGGCCGCTACGGCCGCTGCGAGCCCCAGTGCCCCAAGGGCTGCCCGGTCGGCAGCAACTGCACCTCGCCAGGCGTGTGCAGCTGCCTGGGCGACAAGGTGCACGACCTGGCCGGCAACTGCGTCGACACTTGCCCGCACAGCTGCCTCAACGGGGTGCGTTGCGTACGACGTAGTGGAGTTCCAGGACTCGGGTTCGAGTCTCCGCGGGTCATGCCCTTTTTTTGTGCCAGGTGTGCGCTGGCGGCGTCTGCAAGTGCGCCGAGGGCTTCCGCGCGACGGACGACGGCCGCCTGTGCGCGCCACACTGCGAGGGAGGCTGCGTGGCCGGCAACTGCACGGCGCCGGGGACGTGCGCGTGCAACGAGGGCTTCGTCAAGGACGTGTTCTCGCGCTGCGTGCCGTCCTGCAAGGGCGGCTGCCTCAACGCGGACTGCACGGCCCCCAACACGTGCACCTGCCACCCGGGCCACACCAAGATCCGCGACATCCCCAACGCGTGCGAGTCCCAGTGCCGCGACGGCTGCGGCTCCAACGCGCGCTGCACGGCCCCCAACACGTGTACCTGCCTGCCCGGCCACGAGCACGACCCCAAGGACGAGCTGCGGCGCCGCTGCGTGCCCAAGTGCGCCAAGGTATCGCCGTCTCTCTCGCACCCCCTCGGAACACCCCATGAGTGCGAGAGAGACAGAGCGCCGCCCTGTTCATGTTCCAGGGCTGCGTGAACGGCGACTGCACGGCCCCGGACACGTGCACGTGCAGGCAGGGCTTCACCATGACGAAGGACGCGACGGGGGCGGCCACGGGGCTCTGCGTGGCGCACTGTGAGCACGGCTGCGTCAACGGGGACTGCCTGCAGTCCGGCCGCTGCACCTGCCACCAGGGCTACGTCAAGGACCCCCAGGACGAGACCGGGTCGCGCTGCATCCCCTTCTGCCCCGGCGGCTGCGGCAAGGGGCGCTGCGTGGCGCCGGGCCAGTGCTCCTGCGGCGCGGGCTTCGTGGTTGAGCCGGGCAAGGGCTGCAAGCCCGTGTGCACCGAGCAGTGCGTCAACGCCAACTGCACCGGCCCCAACGAGTGCACCTGCAACCAGGGCTTCCGCAAGGACCCCACCTCCCTCGCGGGCAACAAGTCAGTGTTCAGCGGACTGATTCCGAGAGTCGTTTCCGTCGCAGGGTTGTGGCGAGACTGACCGACTGGCCCTGCTGCAGGTGCATCCCGCTGTGCCCCGAGGGCTGCGTCAACGGCGACTGCGTGGCCCCGGGGGTGTGCGGCTGCCGCCAGGGCTTCCGGCGCGACGCCAACGACCCGCGCGGCCGCACCTGCATCTCGGACTGCCTGGACGGCTGCCCCAACGGCGTGTGCCGCGGCCCGGACGACTGCGTCTGCCACGAGGGCTTCAAGAAGTCGCCCCTGGGTCGGTGCGAAGCCGGTTGCTCGCAGGTAAGTGCGCAGCGTCAGCCGTCAACGGAAACGTCCCTTTTTCTTTGTCGTCGACACTGTGTGTTTTCTTTTACTGCCGCCAGGGCTGCTTCAACGCGGACTGCACGGGCCCCGACACGTGCACCTGCCGCGCGGGCTACCAGAAGGGCAGCGGCGCCCCCAACGTGTGCGTGCCCAAGTGCAGCAGCGCCTGCGAGAACGGCGTCTGCTCCGCGCCCGAGCTGTGCCTCTGCAAGGCGGGCTTCAAGAAGGACAAGAACAGCAAGGGCAAGTGTGTGCCGCTGTAGGGCAGTGGCTTTCTCGGGGAATAATAAGAGACGCAAAGGTACAATAACACAGTTACTTTTTTTGCCTTAAAAGTGTACAGGTTTTTGTAAATTACAAATTTGTTACTGTAGTACACAGAGGTATGTCACAAACCTCACATTTCGGAGAAGGTGAGATCGTATGTTATTCTGAGTTAGAGACGAAAACCAGGTTTCATCAAAATATCACTATATAAATTAAAAACCATCCATTGTATATTGTGTAAACACTCCGATACAAAATTCATTGTACAGTTCAGATGACTAAAATGATAAATTACATACACATTTTTTTTTAAACTTGCGACAGGAAAGAAAAACTACATTATCTAGAGCTTTATAAGTTTTGAGTCATGTAATTGACTTCATTTAAGAAAAATTTTCAAGCCATGTAACAAAAGTCTTAAATTTTCCCCTCAGGTTTCACAATTTTAAAAAAAATTCAAAAACAAGATTGCATCTACAAAATTATGATTTGGCACTTTGCCAGTGTTCTTTCAGTAATCCTACGATTAACCCACATCAAAAGCCAGTTATTACTTGATTATGACATTGTAATGAATTGGCACTGATTTGGCAGGAATCTTAACAGAAAATTCCAAACTATTCACTCGGTACAAAGAAGTTTCCTAGAAACTAAACCAATCTGCAAACATTCACTCAAACTTAAGAGACAATGAAAGCCACAAGAAGTATTCCTATTGAAAGGCAATACATATAAACCATGTACTCCCTGTCCTTAGTTTATTATGGATTTACAACCAACTCTATGGGACACTATGGCATGGTGCAGAAGCATTGTCTACCATTAATTAATTTGTTCCTTTGAAAATTTCCAGACAATAGAAAAAAATTCAACAGAAAAAGACAGGAAAAATCAGATGAATTGATTTGATGAATAAATTGAGATATGGAGGAGAATACTATTTACACAACACTGTCCAATCAATGATAAATCTGAATGATATCCAGGGTCTACAGTGTGATGTGCACGACCCTCAAGAAATTTCAATTTCAATACTAGCTTTTACAAAAATACTTTGAATATCAGTAGTAAGAGAGATAAACCTAAATTCATTCATAAAAAAAAAACTCAAGAAACAGACGGAACATGAATTGGTTCACTGGCATATGACAAACTGCGTTCTGCTTCACAAGCTAAAATTATCATACTCAAACTGTATTAAAGGCACAGCAGCTTCCTTAAATTATTATACTTTACTTCATTCCAAGAGTTGTTGCATTGAATGAACATCAAAACTTAAATAGCTACGAAGAAATCCAAGAAAAGTGAAGCAGAGAGCTAGTCATCTTTGATGGCAATATTGTCACACATTGAAGAAGGCCTTTTAAAATTGATTTGATGAGTGTATGCTTTGGCAGTTTTCTTAAGCAGAGAAAAATTTCCATCATACACACACGCATAAACATAAGGCAGTGCAATTTTGTTTTTAAAAGACGTAAATACCAGATTCATAAAAAGCTGAACCACTTACAAGTAATAACTTTTGGGGAGAAAAATCATAAAAGCACAAATATAAGAGGATACAATCTTAAAACTGTTCACTGTACTTCACTGTACTATGCTCCCCAAAAATATTAAGACATTCGGATGGAAAAAGAGACACCTCAGTCTGATAATGAGAAGTATGCTACAAATAGTTCTTAAATGGCTGAACAGAACAATGAATGAAATCAGAATGTTAACAACATGAAAGAAAAGCTCAAAATTGAGACGCACACACAGACTTGAAACTATGATTGTATCTACATCAAATTTTGAGCATTTCAATAGGAGTATGACCTCCAGATGGTATTTATACACATGTCACAATTCATTCCTTAAGCTAGTCATTTCATAAATAATATTAAAAATAACATAAAAAAATTAGTCTTAAAATGAGAAAAACTAATATCACAAACAGAATACACTCAAATACTATTCGGAGTCGGCAAACACAACACACTTGAAGTACCAGCATCCCCTAAGTTCTTTTGACTTGACTTAAATCTTCTAAATGTTAAAGGGCACATGCAGAAGATTAGAATGGAAAGAAACATAATATGTACTGCAACAAAGACTTTTTGAGACTGAATTAAAAGGGAACTTTGGCACTATGGACTCTGCCAACAAGCATAAATCTCTGCACACTCTCTAAATTGAAACAGAAAAAATTATTGGCACTTTTAAAGTGAAGTGTTGATTGCGTAAAGCAGATGACAAAAGCCAACCAAGCTCAATCAACATAGTTGCCCCAGTCAACAATAGATATTCGAGTTAAGAAAGAACGACTCGAAAGTGGGGAGTATGATAATAAAATAATGGGGAAGAATATTGAACACATATTCAGATGCATCTTCTAGCTACTTTAGGATCCATTTTACAACCATCCAAAAGAACACGCTGTGTGGTGTCATTTAAACTTGAAGCGCAGGTTTGCACCAAAGAATTTCTTACATGAGGTAGTTAAGTACAATCTATTGCTCTAAAATTGTGTTAGAGAGCGAGCCAACAGAAAATGGAATGCTTAAGAGGAATGTAACACGAGAGCATCAGACCAGACGGTCCTTATCACAATAAGAAATGTGTCCGCTTGACATAGAGAAACAAACACACAAAAAGGGGGGACAAAAGCTGTTTTACAATTTGCAATGAAACGAAATGGTGATAATTATTATTTACCTAAATAATGCACACAATGATCATGCAACTATAGAATAAGTAATACGTGTGAACAGCACTGATATTTTTGAATGAACACATGAATGAACCATTATTGTTTTTCAGAAAACCTCACTCTGATAAGTGGCGAGGGAAAAGTGGGGAAGAGGGGAAAGTGGGAGGAGGAGGATAAAATATTGCACATAGTCATGCAAATGGAAATTTCTTGTGCTGGGAACTTGATTTAGCCCAGATTCAACATAATAGATCAGTCAAAGTTAGGACGATACTACATACAAGTAAAGTTTGGCCTCAGCTGCCTTACAGCTAAGAGAGAATAATACATTAAACCGTATCCTTCTCACACTGTTACTCCATTATTCGATCGACTGAATAGGCTTTCAAATATCACATGGTAACCTCTGCCTCACAATATAACACAGATCAATCTGTTTGAAACATCGACTGGATGATCATGTCTCATTAGTAAATAAATTGTTTATTTTTATAAGAATAGAGATAGTAAAAATTTGGAATCTGACAACACACACTCAGTCACACACAGACACACACAATAGTTCGAAAACGCGGTTCAGGGTATTTTGTCGGGTTCGCTGTGAAGCACATGTACAGCCACCGCCAAAACGGCACGAGGGGGCGAAGGGCTTCATTCTACACATCGTGGGGCTGACCGTCCCTGCGGCCAGGCCAGCCAGGCACGAGGCCCGGCCGCGGTTGTGCTCACGCTCGCTTGGCGCTGGAGGACGCCTTGGGGGCGGCCTTGGGGGCGGCCTTGGGGGCAGCCTTGGGGGCGGCCTTGGGGGTGGCCACCTCGGCCAGCAGCCCCTCCAGGTCGGACGGCACCGTGTGCATGTTGGAGTCGATGTCGTCCCTGTCCCTCGGGGGCGTGGCGGGGCAGTCCCCGGGTTGGGGTGGCGCCGCGACGGCCGCGACGGCCTCGCCCCTCTCCTTGTCGTCCTTTCTGCGGGACTTGCGGTGGTGGTTGCCACTACTCGACTCTCTCGTCGACTCTCTAGTCCGTACCAGCATGGCCGTCCGCGGCCCGGCGATGCCGCCCACCACCTTCCTGCCCGCCCCCTCCTCGGGGGCGGCCGCGGGGGCCGCGCTGGGGGTGGGGGGCAGCTTGCGCACGCGGTCCGCACTGAGCTTGGTCGTGACGCCGGAGGGCCCGGAGCCCTTCAGCTTGAGGCGGAACTTGAAGGGCGTCTTGTAGAGCACCTGCAGCCGCACCCGGTCCGCGTCCAGCCGGCCCGTGGGCTGCACCAGGCTGCGCCGGTGCTCCGTGGGCACGGCCGGCACGGCCTTGGCCGCGGCGGGGGCGGCCTGCACGCCGGCCTGCACGGGGGCCTCCACGTCCGGCCGCTGCTGCAGCTGCGAGCTGAGCAGCCAGTTCTGCACCTTGCCCATGGGGTCGTCGCTGGGCGTGAGGGCGAGCGGGCTGCTGCCGCCGAGCACCTTGTCCTGGTCGCTGCAGCTGGGGCTCTGCTTGGCGCTGTAGTCGATCACCTCCTTCTTGGCGCGCTTGGCCGCCTTCTTCACGTTGAGCTTGGTGCTGGGGCCGGGCCGCCTCGAGGACGACTTGCGCGGCGAGTGCGGCGCCGACTCACCCGCCTCGGCCTCGCCGGCAGCAGCGCCCTGGGTCCCCTGGGTCGCGGCCTGGAACGGGAACAAGCAGGAGTTAGAACGGCACGCTTACACCGCGGCAGCTCCACACTCACAGGGATGCGGTGCGCCAGGGCGGCCAGGGCGGCCAGCTCACCTTCTTGGCCTTCTTGCTGCGCCCCGAGATGGCGTTGCTGAGCGCGGTGGCGATGGCGCCCGCCTCCGCGCCGCTACTGGCCGGCTGCTGGGGCCGCAGCGGCGGCGCGCTGGGCAGTGGCGCGGCCGTCGCCGCGGTCGTCGCGGTGATTGGCCCCGTCGTCGGCGCGGTGTTTGGCGCCGGCGCAGTCTTGTTGCGGCCGTCCTTGCGTCGTCGCCGGTCCAGCCGGACGCGCCGCTTGAACGGCAGCTTGCGCGCCGCCGCCGGGTGCACGATGGTCGGCTGCGCCCCCACGCCCCCGGCACCGCCCCCCGGGCCCTCCCCCGGCAGCCGCACCGTCTCCGTGGTCGAGCTGTGGATGATGGTGACGGCCAGCAGCTTGGCGTCGGGACGCTTCGCCAGGAACTTTGCGCTCAAAACCTGCGGAGCAGAGACACGGTCAGTAGGGCCAGGCTGCGGAGGACGACGAAAACGGAAACATCCTACTCAGTTTGAAGGCGAGGTCTGCCGAGATGTGAAAAGATATGAAAGGGAACTCGTAAAAGGGAACTCGTAAAAATATTCCGCCTTTATGCTTAATTAGGAAGACGAGGTCGTGCATGAAAGCGAATAGCGGGAGGTAGGGGCCGCGCGTGCCGGTCTCAGAAAACACGTGGCTAGGCCGCGCTGCCGCGCGGGTGGCGTGGCCTGAAGAAGCCTGAAGCCACGGGGAAGCAGGGGGCGTTTGGGGGCACTTGCTCACCCAGCGGACCTCCGCGGGGACGGTTTCGCTGTTATCATGGCACAAAACCGCAAAATAGGAAGAAACAAAAAAAGTCATGCAGTTACTAAACAAAACTGATAAAAAAAACATGGCGAAAAAATGAAAAACCCACCAAATAATGTAAAGAAAAAAGTTGGAAGGAGCAGCAATTTGCCATCCAAAATTGGGGTGGAATACGCACCAGGATGATTAGGGAAACGACGCCGATGAGCACCACGAAGTACCAATTGTCCGACACCCATTTCTTGAAACTAGCTATACTCTCCTCCGACAGAAGCAGTTTTCGGAGAGTGGCGAGTGGTCCCGACGGGTCGACCTGGAAAAATAGGGAGTGAGTCCTGAACTTGCAACGCTACGGAGCGGCGTGCGTGAGATTGGCTGGAGAATAGAGAGAACTCTTACCTCTCTACATTTTTGGAAGACATCACAGTAGCCATTGTAATCGTTGCAAGGAGTACCGGGCTTGGAGAACATATCAGGTACATCGTACGGAACAGAGTTCCACAGAAACGACGATCTGCAAACAGGGAACGAGTCAAGAAGGGCGTTGGCAGAAGGGCGTCCATGAGACACTGAGACAAACACTCACAGGCAAGGGTTGGAGTCGCCGGGCTGCTTGCAGCACAGCTCGCACGCCTTGGTGGGCGGGTCGGTGGGCCCGGGGATGCACTGGCAGGACTCCAGGCCGTACGCCAGGCAGATGGACCCGGTGCACTCCTGCGGGACAAGAAGCAACGTCAAGGACAAGCTCGTCAACGGAACCGCGGCCGAAGAGCCGGGATGCATGACTCACCCCCATGAAGCAGACGAACTCGTCGTTGCAGATGGTCTTGTTGGGCTTGTTGACGGAGGGCGGGCAGTGCGGGCCGCGGCCGTCGCAGAAGCTCGAGTCGCGGCAGCCGTTGTCGTCGCGGCACTTGTCGCCGAAGCGCAGCCCGCACTCGGCGGTGCAGCAGGGGCCCTGCGAGGGGCTGCACAGGCTGCGCGGCGTGAGGCGGCAGGGCGGCTCCCCCGGCGGCGGGTAGCGGCGCTGCGGGTAGCAGCACTTGTCGCGGCAGTCCTCCTCCCAGCCGCAGTCGCACTCCTCGCCCGGCTCCACCACGCCGTTGCCGCAGATGGCCGTCTGCGGCTCCGTGAAGCAGCCCTTGGCGCTGCGCGCCTTGGCGTTCAGCACGGGGTTGATGCTGTTGAGCGAGCACGGCGAGAAGTGGTTGTTGTTCTTCTTGTCGCCCGAGGTGGCGCGCGCGAACATGATGAAGTTGCCGTCCTCGCCGCCCGGCGTGCACAGCTCGGGGTCGTGCGGCGAGCCGAAGTTGTGGCCGATCTCGTGCGCCAGCGTCACGTGCGACACGGCGGGCGGCACGTGCTTGCCGTAGTTGAGCAGCGTCACGATGCCCGTGTTGAGCGACTTGAGGCTGCCGCGGTAGTGGCCGTTCTTCTCGCAGACGCCGCCCGCGTTCTTCAGGTCGCCCGTCCACGCCAGCCCCAGCGTGCCCATCTCGAAGTCGCGGTACGTGAACATGTAGGCCAGGCAGAAGGCGTCGTAGTCCTCCTCCGAGAACAGCTCCAGGAACTTCTCGACGCCGTAGTTGTCCGGGAAGCGGTACGACGGGTCGTTGAGCGCGTCCGTCGAGTGCACCTTGATGCGCTTGATCATGAAGCTGATGTTGTCCGGCTTGCCGTCCTGGTTGAAGTCGGTGGAGCGGTAGATGGCGTTGACGCGCTGCACGTGGCGCGTCATCACCTCGATGCAGGCCTCCTCCGTGCCGTACTTCTGGTAGAACAGGTGGTCGGCCTGCAGGTACAGCATGCACGTCGTCTTCTTGGGGTCCACGGCCGTGGCGCGCTTGTTGAAATGGCGCGGGTCGTCCTCGGGCAGGTAGTAGCCCGACAGCACCTTGGAGTAGGGGATCACCTGCGGCTCCTTGCCGGCCAGGTTGTCCGTGTGCTCCACGTCAACCGTCTCCTCCTCGCCGCCGGGCCCCAGCTTGGGCCGGATCAGGATCGTGTGGTTGTAGAGCACGATCTTGCCCACGTTCTCCGGCAGGGCGGTCTTGGACTCGAGCGACCGTCCTGTCGCGTTCTCCCCCTTGACGGGCACCCGCACCGAGTTGTCCGGGGGCTGCGTGTCGAGGCCGGTCCCCAGGCCGTGGCCGAGGCCGTGGCCGAGGCCCTGTCCCTTGCTGCTGTGCGGCTTGTTCAGGCTGTACGTGTTGTAGGGCTCGCTGTAGTCCTCCAGCGAGGACGGCTCGCGCTCCGCGTCGGCGGGCTTGGCGGCGGTGGGTGGTGGCGGTTCGGGTCGCGGGTACTGTCGCGGCCGCGCGGGCTCGTGTGCGCTCAGGTCGCCGAAGCTCTCCTCGCTGCGGTCCAGGCCCAGCCCGCCGCCATCCGAGTAGTCCAAGTCCGGCGGCTCGGGCGGCTCGGTGGCGGCGTCGTGGGCCTTGGAGTGGCGGCCGCGGTGGCGCGTGGCGGGCCGCGCGGTGGGCACCCACCACCGCTTGACGCGCTCCCGGCGCCCGCTCCGCGCGTCCCGCCGGTCCCGCGTGCGCCGCTCGTGCAGGCGCTGCGACGCGCAGCCGCCGTCCGCCACGCCGGCCACGTCCGAGGAGCGGTAGATGACGCTGTGGAACGGCGCCTCGCGCAGGTAGCGCGCCGCCGGCTCCACGTAGTACTCCTCGGACGGCGTCAGGATGGAGCCGTCGAACAGGCCGTCCGCCGTCACCACGCCCTGCACCAGCGTGTCGTCCTCGCCTGGAACAGAGAGATGATGGGGGTCAGGAGGGCGCCTGCGAACTCGAGGGTGGGCCAACCCGCACCACAGCGGTGTTCGGCGGGCGTGCCTACCTCCCAGGCGGCCGGCAGCGCGCCTGCGAACTCGAGGGTGGGCCAACCCGCACCACAGCGGTGTTCGGCGGGCGTGCCTACTGCGCAGGCGGCCCAGACCCACCCCGCGGTTTTCCAGTGAGGCTTTCATCTCCACGGCCTTGCTCGTTCCACGCGGATTCGCGCTCCGGCCGCGCGTCTTGGCGTTCTGCTCGTTATGCCTGCTGGCTGCTCACCGGTTCGTTTGCCAGCCCCCGAACAACAATAACGAAAAATAAACACGAGGGCGGGGAAAAGAAAAAACGATGCAGCGCGGCGCGAGGCCGAAGAATGCGAGTAGGGGCGTCGAAAAGACGCGACGAAAAGACGCGGCGCGACGACTGCCGAATTGAAAACAGCCCCGAAAATCCCTTTATGAAACGACGCCGGCCGCTAACGATGCCGAAGAGGGTCGTCGGCATGCCGGGGCGCCGTGGGCCACGTGGCCACCCGTCGGGCGTGGCCGCCAGTCGGGCACGGCGCCGAGCTGAGCCGAGCTGAGCCGAGCCAGCCGTGGCCAAGCAAAGCCTCATTGAGAACAAGGGCCTCAAAGAGCGACGCTGCTGAAAGACCTTTTAAAAGGGCGAAGGACGTGGGGCGGCGTGGCCTGGTGCCGAGGAGGAAATATAGCAAAGGTATAGGTGGCCGCTCCGCTCGCCGTGCTCGCCGTGCCCGCCCCGGCCGTTTAGGCTTCGTGCCTTGGGCACCTGAGGCAGCCTTAGGCCGTGGCGTTGGGCAAGCAAGAGCAGCCCAGTCAAGCCGAGCCACCAAAATGAGCGCGTAATACAAACAAAAGCGATTCGCATCAGAGGAAATGTTTGGCCCCGGCCTCGCCCTGGCCTCGCCCAGGCAGTCCTGGCCTCCGCGCCTCCGCGCCTCCGCCACTCGGCACACAATGAGGGCTGGAAACCGTCCCGGGGGAGGCCGATCCGAGCTGGAGCGCAACAGCACGCACAACAAAGGCAAAAAACAGGTCGATATTGTTTCCTTTGGCCGAGGCCTTTGGCCGCGCCCCGCGCGTTTTCCGCGAGGTGTGCCTAATTTACCAGTGCCGTGCTTCCAGCAAGGCTTCCAGCCTTCCAGCCGCCGAGGTGAAAAGTCTAATTAAGCCCCGCCCTCACTCCCCACCCTCCCCCTTTCCCAGAGAAACATTCTGAAAGCGGGAAAGAAGGGCGAAAAGGACGGGATGAATGAATGAGTAAATACCTTCGAGCGTGCCGGTGAAGGCCCTGGTGGTGTCGTAGTGCAGCGCGCCGTGAGGACCCTCGAATGCCACGTCGTCCGCGAAGACCGAGGTGTCGGGCCTCAGGTGCAGCCGAAAGTCCCTGCAAACAAGATCACGTTCGTTAGCTCAACTGCTCCAGCCCGCCTTGCCCGCCTGCAAGGGGAGCAGAGCCGCGCACACACACCTACACACACACATACACACACACACATACACACACGCACGCATACAGTGCCGTGCTCATGCACGCACGGCCCATTAGAGGACGCAGTAATCTCATCTTCTCCCAGCCAGCGCGGCTCAGCCCCTCCTTTGCCTTTTAAACTAAACGCACAACAACTCTCGCGGTCGCCCCGCCCCGCCCCGCCCCGCCCGCCCCGCCCCACCCCGCCCCGCGCAGTCCCACCCTTCTTAACCAGGGCAGCCCCGCGCGGCGGGCTGATTCCGTGCGACCCAGTCGCTCTGTCTCTCTCGCACGCGGACGGGATGCCCCACGAGCGCGAGAGAGACAGAGCGACGAAAGCACCCCCGGGCCTGGCCGGGCCCCTCGCCGTCCTCGCTCACCTCAATCCCCGGCAGCCAGCCCGGCGCCAGCGCGCCAGCCTCGGCGCCAGCCTCACAGGGCAGGCTTTCCTTTTAACATTAACCCCGGCATGTATTTTATACACTGCATACACACACGCGCACGGCGGCGCCTCGCGCACCTTGCGTGTGTGTGTGTGTGCGTGTGTGTGCTGACTCCGAGAATAAGAAGACGAGGGTCGTGCACACAATGCCTGTCGTCGGCGGAAAGAAAAGGCAAAGGCGAAGGAGGATGATTTGTAAATGAAAATTAGCATTCCTCCTCGGCTGCGCCATGGCTGCGCGAGGCGGCTAGAGGCGGCGAGGGAGCCGAGCCAAGATCCCCCTCCCCTCCCCTCCCCTTTTCCCCTGGCAGGTGAGAGCACGCTGCACTGCACTTGCCGCCGGCCTCCATTCCGTTGCCGCCCGCCCTAATGCTCCCCACTCCCCGCCTCGCTGCAGAGCGATTCCGCGAGTCCTGTCTCTCTCGCACCCCCCCTGGATGCCCCGAGAGTCAGCGGGTGCGAGAGAGACAGAGCGACGAGACCGCTGTTTGCGGACACAGCCTGCCGGCTTCCCCATTTTCCGCACAGCAGCGCCCCTTGGCCCCCTTCTTACTGACCGGTGGTGCGCCGTGAAGTTGAGCGTGAGGTGGTTTCCGTCGCCGCCCCCGGTGCCGCCCCCGGTGCCGCCCCCGGGGTCGTGGTTCGGGGGCGGCCGCTGCGCCGAGGGCCGTGTCAGCAGGCTGCGTCGGAGGCGGCGGTGCTGGACGCGCAGGGCGTGGGCGTCGTAGCGTGCCGGCTCCGAGTACCGGATCATGTCACCCAGTGGCATCCCTGCGGGCAAAAAAGAAAAAAAACACGTCAAACGTTGCAACAAACACGCCATGTTTTTCAGAAACAAAAAAGTTGAAAAACAGTTGAAGCCTCCCCAAGGGGGCCCTGGACTGTGCGGGGCACGGAGCTCTTCTAATTAGCCGCCGCAGTGTGTCACTGGGCCTAGGTCAAGGGGAGGCGGGGCGCGGCGGGGCGGCGCGGGGCGCGGCGGGGAAGGCCGCTGTCACAGCCGGACGATTGCTATTTACTGCCCGCGCTGCCGCCGCCTCCAAGACCCACATAAATAAAGTTGGAGCTGAAGCCGCTGGCCTGGCGCGGCCGCCCCCCGCAGCACGACGGCGTGGGGCGGCCGGAGGCTGGAGGCGGCTGGGGGCGGCAGCAGGAGGGAACCCTGCAGGCCCCCGGCCAGGCCCTCGGCCTGATTGGGCGCACTTCTTCCTGTTCATAGGCGAGCCGGCGAGCCGCTTTGAGGGACGCGGAGACTGGCGGAGACGCGGAGGCAGAGGCGGACCCAGACTCGGCGACTCGGCCCGACTCGGCCCCACGGGGACTCGCCTGCATTGGCCGCTTTAGACCCGCTTGGACGGTTCCTTCCCGGACAAGCAGGAGGAGGCCGGGCGAGGACCGAGACGACGACCAAGACGACGGAGACGACGCCAGTAGGAGAAGTGCGGCCACTTAAAAGTTACGCCAGGCCAACCAAGCAGGCAGGCAGGCAGGCAGGCAGGCTGGCTGGCATCGGGCTCCAGACGGACCAAGACCGACAACGCACGCTCAGGAAATGGGGTCTCCAATTTCGGGACCAAAGTTTGTCTCGATTCGCACTCCGCTCGCACGCCGCGCCGCCACCGCCACCGGCAAAAACACTCCGGCAAATACAGTGTAACGCAAGGCCGGCAGAAGGCCACGCCAGAAGAGGGAGAAAGAGAGAAAGAGCAGTGGCCCCGAGCGACAAGGACGCCGAAATAGAAATAGAAAGTGCGTCCCAGGCCCTCCGCGTCCCACCCCCGGCAGTCAAAGTTAAAACAGACGTTGAGACGCCCCCCCTCCCCCTCCCAGCCTCTCGCCCACTTTGCAATCAATCATCGCTGGAGCGCGGGCATTAATATTGCAAACATGAAACCTCCCCCATTTCCTAAACAAGAAAAGAAAGAGGCGTTTGAGAAAAGACAGCGCGGCGCGACGGGTCGATAGTCCAGCGGCGTAGCAGGGGCGGGTGAAAGAGGGGGGGGGGGCTACGCCACCGATGTTGTATTTACTGGCAATATAGTGGCTTCCGGCCACGATGTACTGGACAAGGCGTCGCGTCCAGGCCTCGTCCGGGGCCCCGCCTCGCCCAGGCCGTAAAGAAGGCCGGCCAGGTGGACGTGACGCGAGCTTCCTCACACCTTGGGCCGTGCGCAAGGCTCGGGTGGGCCGAGCTCCAATATCCGACCAGGCCAGCCGCGCCTCTTATCGCTAGTCACAAAATATCCACTCCAACGATCGAAGCGGCCGTTAAGTGGAACGCGCCGACTGATCAGGGCAGCTGCCCGTTCAACTCGGCCAGGCACACGCTCCTTAGTGGCGGCGTCTCCGGCACCTGGGACCTCGCCTCGCCTGGGACCCAACTTGGCAGACATTTCCACAGTGGGCGAGACGTGCGGGTGAGAGGCAGGTGCATGACTAAAAGGGTTGTGTGGCCGGGCCCCGGGCTGGCTGGGCACCCGGGACGGGGGCTGCGGCGGGCGGCGGGCGCGGGTCGGCGCCGGGCCAACTACTTGCTGGGAGGGATGTCTGCTCGGGGTTTGGTTGACAGCTCGGCCGGGGCGGCGGGGCGGTCCTCACGGGCCGGACCGCATGGTCGGGGTGGAGGCAGCGACAGTCTGTCGGCACGCCCAACTCACACAGCGCGACACGCCGCACACACCCACACACGGAAATATGCTGGGGTGGAAAATTCGAATGCTGACGCATGACATCCTTGTGCAGCTGGCTTTCAGCGGAGCGCACGCACGCGCTTCTCACTAACGCCTGGAAAATTGGTGCTCCTTTTCTTTTTCTCTGTCTGGCTGTCTCTCTAACAGCCGTGGGGCTCCGGCCGCAGTCCTGCGCCGCCCTGGGCCGGATGGAGGCGCTCTGCGCGGCGGGGCCCTCGGATGCAGAGTGCGCTCTGCGGTCGGCAGACAGACAGTCAGGCAGACAGACAGGCGAACAGACAGACGGACGGCGAGAAAGGAACAAGGAGACAGAGGGCAAAAGATGACGGGGAAAGAGCGACCTGGGCGGGGCTGCGGTATACATTGTTGTTGGAGGAGTAGAATCCGATTACACTCTGCCTCGCCTCACCTGCGGAGCACCTTGTCGTGGCGGGGCGGGGCGGGGCGGGGCGGGGCCGGAGGCTGGCAAGACGAGGACCAAAGCCAGGCCGGGCCCAAGGCCGGCGCGCCCCACCACACCCCGCCACGTTCCGAATATCATTTATGTGACGCGCCCCAGAAATACATAATGTAATGATACCCTCCCCCGGCCCGGCCCGGCGTGCGGGGCGTGCGCGCCCCGGTACCCTTTTTCCTCCCCCGCCCCCTCCGCGTCGTAATTTCGACCCGGATTCCCCGATGAGCCGCAGTGCCGCACACGTACAGTGTAGGTTCAGCGGTAGGGCACGGCGAGGACGAACCGAAGTTGTCGGCCAGCGAGCAGCCGAGAGCAGCGCGCCAGCCGACAACAAGCGGCGAAAGGAGCAGCCGAGCAGGCCGAGCAGGCCGATAAGCAGAGCAGCGCGGCCTGGCGGGGCGCGGCGCGGCGGGGCGCGGCGGGGATGAGGATTCAGTGTCCCCGATGGCGGCGCCGCGGCGACGGGGATGGGGCGCGTAATGATAAACCCTAGGCCAGCCCACCCCGCTGCTCCGCTGCGCCGCTGCGCCGCTCTGGGGCATAAATAGAGCGTTTCATTCAAAGTTCGAGGCACCATAGTGCCGCCGCTGCTGCCGCCGCGTCCTCCTGCAGAGCCAGATAGCGCACACGGCGGTGCTCAGCCCGCGCCGCCCCGCGCGCCTCGAGGGCGGCGTTGTTGACAGCGTTCTTCCTCGACAAGAGCGTCGTCATCTTCATGCCCGTCATGAAGCGCCGCAGCGGTCGGCCAAAGTGCCACACATTCCGGCCGACGTTGCCACCGGAAGGCGGGGCCCCGGGTTCGATACCGAAATCCGCGACACATTTTGCGGCGTCACGGCCCGTGACGCGTCCACTGGAACACCAAAACGGCGACGGGCACACTGGGCGGACTGACCTACTTCCGTGGCTCGACGGACAAATGCACAGGGTCCTCAGCCAGCTCGATTCCGATCCCCGAAGCATGTCTTTTTTGGTCGAGCCGAAATATTTTCTATACTCGAAACAGGACACCAAGACCGTTGCTCGCCGCCGCCGCCGGGCAATAACAACACTCAGGATCTTGTTTGACCAAGAGCGAGAGAGAGGGGCAGACGGAGAGGCCCCAGCAGGGTGATGAGGAGGGCTGCACTAAGGGGGCCAAGCCCTCGGCGCCCTCACAGTCTTAGGCCTAATCGCGTTAGTAGGCAGAGCAGCACTCCCCCTCCCCCACTCCACCATTTCGCCGCCCCTGCACGCCACAGTGCCGGGGGCCGTGGGGGCGGGCGGGGAGGGGCGTGCCGATTCAGATAGCCATCCTGGGAGACCCTCCCCACCCTTCGCCGGGCCGGGCCGTGCGTCGACGTGTCACCGAGGTGGACCCTGGCCAGCCCAGGGGGGCCCCGCCCCGCCCCGCCCCGCCCCGCCCCGCCCCGCCCCGCCCCGCAGGCCGTGGGGAAGGAGGAAAGAGGGCGGGCACGACAGAAGCCCCGCAGAGGCACGGCGCGGTTTGGCGCGTGCAGTGTCGTCGTGCAGGGCCGCCACTCCGACACCCAATTTCCCCAAACACCTTTCACGGCGCGGCGCGCGGTCCGCGGGGCCTACACTCGAAACGCCCCCCCCCTTTTTTCCTCCTGGTGCCGGCCCGGCGGCGTGCCGCCGTTGCGGTGATGGTCAAGGGCGCCAAGGACCCCGGAGGCGTGGCGGCACAATTAAAGTCATGCCCCGCGAGGAGCACGGCGTGCGGCCGGCGGCGGCCGCGGCGAGGCCGAGCAGGACGTCGGCAAGGCCGGGCAAGGCCGGCGCACTTCCCCTCTGTGACGACCAGCACCAAGTCCGCGCCGCCGCATCTCCACGTCGCGACCAGAGAGAGTCACTCTGGTGGCTGTGAGAAAAAAGTTTTCGGTCACAACGACGTCACACAGTGTCCCTGAAACGCGGTAAAGGATGCATGAAAATGAACAGCGTTCACTGTCGTTTTTTCTCACAGTGCTGCTCTGTTTCCCCCACATACACGGCGCTGTCCGCGCCGCGTCCGCGACAACAAGGGTCGAAGGGTCGCCACATCACGCCCTGCTGCCCCGCTGGAAGGCTGGAAGGTAAAAGGGAGGCTGTATATAGTGGGGCCGCGGGGCCCTGGGGGCCCACGGGAGAAGGGCAGGCCGGGCACGCCGCGCCCCGCGCCGCCAAAGGCCCATGTTGTGAGAGAGACAGCGACACAGCCCTTGTATGATAATGCCGCCCTGGTCAAAGCAGGCCTTCTTTTTTCCCATCGGGTGACATGCGCTAGATCATCAAAGAGGCCACGCTGGTGGACTCCGGCACGCGGCCGCCCGGCCCGGCGAAGCCTCGGGGGACGCGCATCACAGTGTACGCGCGACAACGGCGTTGGCCGTTTCCGTCCGGACTGCAGCAGATGCACGGTTCATTGGGAAGTACTCGACGGTAGTATCCAGTTTAGGCTAAGGAAACCATTAAAGGCCCTCGCTGTGTTTTTATCGACAAGGATCCTGTGACGCGAGCGCGCGCGCGAGCAAGCGAGAGAGAGACGGAGAGAGAGGGGGCTGGCCCGGGCAGGTAATGAACACAGCGTACTCAAGGTCCTGCGCGTCCTGCGCAGCTAGATCGAGTTTCGATCCTTCCCCCAC